TTATATGATCACCATCGACGCCTTATCCGTATCAAATTTAGCTGAAAGTGTTGATTCATTGTAGAAGACGGACACATGTATATCTATTTATGGGGTTGTTTGTAAATACCGGAACTGCATACCACAAATTATTCCATGTTGATATATAAAGATAATCATCGCCAGATCCCGTACATTAGGGGGCTTGCTTTAAAATCAATGAAATTGGTTGTACGGAGAACAAAACACGTTTAAATTATAATTGTTTATGTTATATTATCAGACATCTTGTCAGTATTGCTATCCATAAAGGGATATTAGGTGTATTGTTGAACTTCCATATAAAGTTGTTGTTGAGTGATTATCTCCTCATAGATACACGGTAAGCTAATATAACATGTAAGGAATCACGTTTTAGATAAAATTAATAGCGGGATCACGACTATTTGATGTTAATGATTTCTTAAGACTCTTCAGATTAGCCCCTTTAAAACCACAGTTTTAACAAGTCCATTGGTCAGAAAAATCCATTCACATTATTTAACATTTATATACACCCTTGCCTGATCCAACAAAAACAAAAATCTTAAACGTGAGAGGGTATTTTCTAAAATTAATTCGATTTACATTTACATGGTTCCGTCTTTCTTTGTCCATTTGCAGATATTATACCTGAAAATATACCTGCATGAAATACCTCTTCGCAAAACTGCATTTGAAGATAAATGATTAAATAAAAATTCGATGGCTTTAATATTCTTCAGACCTGATCCGTTACAGGTTTAAAGGTGTCATCTGTAAAGGATGTAGATAATCAACTGGGTGTACCTAAATGGGTTATCATTATCACCTAATATAAATGGTTTTAAGGGTTTTTTCTTATCTATACCGGTGATAAAATGTTCTCGACTCACCATGAAAGAATTTTCTTCAAGCTTAATACACTTCAGCTCCCGTATGAGTCATATATTTATTAGTATAATATATTAATAAACATAAACTATTTCTATTCGATCCCTTCTTTCTTCTCATAGGGAGTTGTATCGAAAGAGTAATTGAACTCGAAGTTTCCTTTCAAATTATTTTGGGTGTTTCCCCTGACAAAAAATGCCAGTATTGGTACCATTACAAAGCACAATTTGGTTGCCCGACTTTCAAATAGAAAAGGAGACTACTTTTATGTTAAACATGTAGGCTAATCACATTTTGGTTGTTCAATGATCAAAAACTTGCCCGACTTTCAAATAAAAAAGTGGACTACTTTTATGTTATACATGTAGGCTAATCAAAATTTTATACGATGGACGAACAATTTGTTATTGCATAAGTATGTATTATAGTTTATTACTCTGTCCAGTTAATAAATGCCTCCAAAAGATTAGTCAAATATTTGTTTTTATGAATCGTTTTATCTTTCAGGAATTAATTGATTCAAGCTAAATTAAGCATTCCGTTCCACTCCATTGACACTGAAACCTGTAAGCGAGAGTAATAGCCCGTCATAAAAAGCATCTTTTAATCATCCTAATTGTGGATATTAATTTCGAAATTTTAACAGTTTATACGCTCCAGTACTTGCAATATTCATGAATAATATCCATTGTTCATCTCTCTATAACTTTACTTACTGCAAAAAAAGTTATGCTGGAGGCCAACCAATCTAAGAATTTTCAAACGTTGTATTTGAGAAATGTGAATGTTTGTTGAGGACCATAATGTGACGTGTTTACTACATGGAAAGACTGGACGTTGTTGGTTTATAAGTTAATAAAAAAGAATACTGATTCTCTAAAGACATGTTGCGAAAAAAAACAAAACCCGTCTTGGACTAAGCGTAAAAGTACTAACCTTGATTAGCCAGTTAGGCTGGATAATCAAAACCGTTATAAAGCCTTAGCGGAATTTTATGTACGAATGGCTTTGATTGGTAGGTTTAGCTGGAGTTGACTAATCACGTCCCACGCTTTACTGAACATGCCTTATAAAAGAACATCTTTAAACCAAGATAAATTGCACTAAACAGGAAAAAAATAGAACAAAATGATACACAGACCCCATGACATAATTGATTTACTCTAAGACAAATTCCTGTTTGTAAGGGTGTTTATATCTAAAAAAAATTCAGACGAAAGGTCAAGACTCGTTTGGGCTGAATTATCTTCTATTGCGCTGCTAATCAGGTACATTGAAATTCGATAACAGTTAAAAACAGTTTTGCATTGATCTCGACATTTATTTTTCTAAATGAGATTTGCAATTCAGCATGACATTTGATTGTATTTAGATTTATAGTCTTTGTTATCAAGCTGGCTGCACGGTCATAAACTGAAATGAAATGTTTTCCGTTTTTAATGGCACCATATGTTATTTACAGTCTGTTCCATTTAGTTCAAACCATACCTTGTGAAAAGTTGACGTGGCTGTTTTAATTAGTTATTCATATATCTCCGATTTAAAGGCTATTCAGAAATAAAACGATCGCTGCAAAACGGTAAATATCACGTACAAAATGTAATTACGCCGTCTGATACAGTTGCAAATTTACTCTAAACAAATGTTGTAAAAATGCCAAAACAACCCAAGAAGTTTTCTTAATATAATACACTATAATCCTTTTAATTACTTTGTAGATGTTCTTGAAAGAAACCCTACAATTGTGGCCAGGGGACGCGTCCGTTTAAATTAACATTAAATATAATAAATCAAACTGGAGTATCGCAGCATATAAACACAAAGGAACGAATACGTACACCATTTTGATTATCTATAATTGAGATGTGGTCAACAATTTCAGAGAGTAGCCGTTGATAAAAGTGGGTTTAAGGATACGCATTAAAGGAGCTAAATCGCTAATATTTTGGACCTAGAAATTGACACAAATGGGTCGCAACGCGTATAATAATGTAATATGAATGTATATAAACTGATTTACATTCAATCGTTCCGTTTTGACTCTAATTTCAAATCAGTTAGGTTCGTCGAAATAAGCCAGAAGTCTCAGTCGAATAGAAATCTCTGGCGTCTGGTTATTCCAGTCTATTGTGCATGCTCCAGATAAGAATATGGCGTCAGCGCTTGACATGATTTGGAATATCTAATCTCGTTCTTTCTTGATCCTTGTGAACCAGCAAGAGATGGATAGAGAACAAGCTAAATAAAAAGCGATTTTTCTTACAATCAAGGGTCATAATTCAGGACGTTACGATCCGATATACGCGAATATCAACAGGAACCAAGATCTTTGGGTTATAATGATATATTTCAAGTGTCATCAAAATCGGATCAACATTATAACTTCTAGAGGGTACACAACCTTGATATACCATATATTTAACATTTCAAGTTTCATCAAAATCAGAAGAAAATTGTGACCTAAAGAGGGTCCACAACCTTGATATACCATAATTTTACGCTATTTGAGAACGAGGGGCGGCCATTTTGTCTGTCAGTTTTGGGCCGATTTCCACGAAATTCAAACTCAACCATCCTTACGGTGATATACTAAAACGATTTTTGTTAAATCGGATAAAAATTATGACCTCTATAGGATCCACAAGTTAAAGCTAAAGAAGAGATAAAGCTATATTTCAAGTTTCGTTGAAATCGGATAAAAATTGTGACCTATAGAGTGTCCACAAACAATTGTGGACGGATGGACGGACAGGGGCGACGACAATATACGTCCACATGAAAATGTGGGCGTATAAAAATGACATTGAAACGCATTATGGGACACGATTCGTGTACCAATGGTAAAATGTTTATTTTGTCTTAAATATTGGATATCAGAAGCCCATCTTTTCCCGGTAAGACCACAACATCAGTGTTGATTTAAATTGACAAATAATTTGTGTTTTCAATGTGGAAGATTTTAGATGATGTTGAGTTGGAGACTTAGCTACTTTAAGGGCCATACTTTGAAGAAATAGCCGAAATGGCAGCTCAAATTATTGAGCCGTTTGTGAAGTGACTTGTGAATTTGCTTAATCAGCGGAATTCCATTGTTCAATTAAAACGTATGAGTGCCGTGACATTTTAGCTAGATTGCTTATATGTAGTCGATTCAGTATGCCTACTATAAGTTTTATTTCTTTTATAGAAATGACTTTATGCCCTAACTTTGATACACTTGCATTTTTTTCACAAGTTCATAAATTTTAAATTCATTTAATTTTACAACAATTCACGAAAATGGTGATACATGTAAACGTGTTTTTCTTCATAGTGCCCTCATTGAGATTTGTTGTAGCACATAGCCGATCATGTTCCGCACCAGAGTGGTACACAGTTTGCAAAATATTCCTCTTTTTTTCCTGAATTATTTAGTGTTAATTTGTTTTCATTTGAGTAAAACCTGTATCACTGCAGAACCCGGACTGCAAACCGCAGTGGAGGCTAACTACGACTGACGCCGGACCAGTTCACTTAATCTGATATATACGTTTGTTGATTGAAATGTCTGCGTAGATTTGTCTTACATAACTATTTGTGTAGGACACCTACTATTATTACCACGCCAAATAGAAACTATCGGTTTGCATTTCTGAGTAAAAGTATCACAAAGAATGTGAAGGACCAGGATGAAAGTTTCCACATACTATTATCCAGTTTGATTTAATAAACTATATGTGGGACAGCTGATCCATGTTCTCGGTAAACTTCAAGCTGTCACCTCATAATAGTCATTTCAAGATAAAATCACAGACACTTAACAGAATGCTCCCCGCGCTTATTTTCCCCCTGCAATCTGATTGGTCTTTGAAACACACTTTACTTCCAGTAAATGGATATAGATAAAACAAATGAAACGGGGTTTAACGTCCTGCTTTTCTTTATCGACCGGGTTAATGAAGAAAATACCCCAATTGATTCGCACGTGAAGATTCACGTTATGTCTTCTATTTTTGTCTCCTGTTCCTGCAAGCGTTATTTTCTGTTCAGGATTCCTGGCGCTAATTCGCTAGGAATCTTTTTAAATGGATTTTGTCCCATCCAAAAATAACATAAAAGAGATGAAAATATCGTATTTTTAATCGTTTAATCAGCATTTCAGAACATTAAAAAGAATCAGATTTCATTTTAAAAAACAAACAAACCAAACAAAACACAGATCTTATGACATTTGGATTATAATTTCATATTTGGAATTTGAATATTGTTATGTACTTATGTACGTTAACTGTTTAAAAACAGTAAATGTACATAACTGCTGAATAAAAAGTTTATTTTGGTCTGGTATATGGACCATGAGGAACACAAAGACTATGCTGTGACTGCCTTATCATGTACCATATTTTGCAGTCTCAAATATTTGTCATCTTAAAATCTACACTTAATTATCCAGACAATTACTTTCAGTCAAAAATAAACTGGTTTGATCTAATGGATTTACAGTTTAACATGAAGCAGCCAATTAATTTAATGCCAATAGGAAGGTGTAGTTCATGCATGCAATTCATAACAAGTCCTAAATCTCCATTTGAAACCAATCAATATCACTACAGCTTCAAACTACTAATCATGCATAGATAATTGTCAGTCTTTCTTTATGCCCATGTCAAAAAAAATTGTGTTTATATTTCAAGGCTGAATGTATCTACATTTGAAAAAAAACTGACCAAAACCAAGGTGGATATAGGGAAACACCCACAGTTCTCAGTTTACAATCCTGCCAATCCACCAATTTTTTGCCTATTTTGAGTCTGATAATATCACTAAATAGACAAATGGGATTTTGTAAGTATTAGAAAGTACATTGTGTCTTTCCATCAAATAATTGAAATCCTAAATGAGCCACATAGTCAATAATCATTTTTTAAAATTTAAACTTAAAAGGGCTGAAAATTTTTCTTTGGATAGTAATCTTAACGATTCTAACAAAAAAACGAGTTCAGATACCATCTTGAACTTGATGTTCATAGATAAAAATGAATTCTCCTTCAGACCTTTAGTAAGATGACAGATTGAAATAAAATTATCTTTAAGATGACTAGAATTGATTGATCTTAATAACTTTAATATGATTTTGGTGAAACTAGTGTTCACATATGAACGTAACTGCTAATTTAGTCGGGAACACTTAAATGATGGTAACTCAATCTGAATATTTCAAACATTTGCACACTTCACATTCATTTTATCACAGTTAATGCCTTTCTCAACTCAATTAATCTTTTATTACTAGAAAACAAATCCCATCAAATTATTCTGAAAAACAAAAAAACTATTAAAATATCCCTTTTGAACAGGATTTTGGATAAAATTTATAACAAAGGAAAATATGTAACAAATAAAACTCAGTCCTTTATACTCAATTGAACATAGCCATTCTCACACAAATTAGCATTACAATATCTCAATCAATATAATAAAAACATTATTAGCAAAAAAAAATAACATAGTTTAAACAAACTTGATTGTTATTTTTTTCTTCTTCTCAATATCTTATAAATGCCATAAAATAAGGACATTAACATTTTAAAAATATGTTGGTTTAAGGATAATTAGGTCATCCACTGAAATACCCCAATCTTACTTCTATAGAACATAGGTGTGTATTTGTCTTTATTAGGTCATATATAAATACTATGTAGACTAACAATTTCTATATCAAACTGAACTGTATTCATATAACAAAATTTTTGTTCACTTCTTGGGTATGTGCCTTACATTTTTCATGAACTCTTATATATTAAATCCAAGTTTACTAAATGTCATTGTGCTTGATAACGATAAGAGGATACTTGTCGAAACGTTGTGCTATTAGAATAAAACCAGTGATTGTTTCCTATAAAAATTGTGTTCTGTTATTTTTCATATACTAAAAAAAAAACCCACTACAATATAAATATACACAAGCAAATCAAACAATTAAAACAAAACTTATTGGCACTTGAGGGCAGTTAATATGGATAATAATACATATATTACTAAATAAATGCATACATCTTTAATTCACAACACATATATAATACTTTCATTTGGCTACTGTATACAATACATTGTAATTACATTGTTCTTCCATACTTTCATTTCACTACTACTGTATTGAGTACCATTACATTAATCTTTAATACCTTTATTTTGTTGTATCTAGTGGTGTGACTCAACATCACAACTATTTACAATATGTCTAAAATATGTATTATATTTTCCACTGACCACATTTCTAAAGATTTTTTAGATCTTTAAATTTCCCTGAAATTGAACTCAATTTCTAAATCACACCAAACTGTCTCACTCATTCCAGGTTTAAGTAAAAAGTCTGTGCACGACTTGGACTTTCATATAATTATTGTATATTATTTGTTGATATTACTAGCTGGAGATTATATTGATGACAACAAGCACACAAAGCGTAGATATCTAACAATTCAGTCACAAAATGAAATGAAAGGGGGTTTAACATTGTATGTACTATTCTGCGCCAACAGAGCTAATGAAGAGGGGTGTATGCCATGCTGTGAAGGAAAATTTTCCCTGACATCGGCGCTACAATGTACTAATATTTCGATTTCCAACTATCACTATCAGTTTTTCTTAATGTGCTGCCAATGGTATACATTGGACATCTATTTTTTCGTTCCATATGAAGGTATGGGGCGCTTTTCATTGCTAGACCCTCCATCATGCACCACTACCAAGCAGTAACAAGACCAGAAAATCCCAAGGGACTTTCCCATTAATGAGTCTACTAATCACTAAGCAAGCCACCCACATATATAAATGAATAAAATGCATCTTTGATATCAATTTATAAGTAACATTGTTTAACATATGACTGGCAGGATAAATTCACAAAAATACTATGTTCAATTTAGCATTTGATGCAAAACAAACACCACATCCAAAGATAATTTAATTTTAACATCAAGCATGCCTGCAGATCTCATTCAATAAATTCATTTAAACACGTTCATAAAATAACATATAGGCTTCAGAGTTCAACACCTGTGTAAAGCTTGTTTTGCGTACATTTTCATCAGAGGTGAATAACCACTTAGATCCCATGGGATCTTTAACGCATGGCACTGGATTTCTGCGATAGGAGACAAAATGACCTGAACACTCATTACCTTGGTGACTAACTACCGACGCTAATTTGTAAGTAAATTCAACTCTGGGCTTTATTTCTGGACCATTGTGGTTTTCATCAGCATGAATATTATGCATGTTTAAAGAATTAGGAGGCTGGACAAATATACCATTCATGGTACTGGAGTCATAATTCAAAGCTCTTAACAGATTAACTGGAGCAGATTCCATCATTAATTTCTGGTTCTGAGTACCAAACCTGGAAAAAAAATGTCCAGATGGAATTTAGATGTCTCAATATATATTATGCATGTCACTCAGGCTTATATTTCTAAATAGTTCATTTTGCTGTCCTAAATTTAAGAGTTTTAAGAGATGAAAAAGTTGACTGTGCTTGTACGTACTAAAATCATCACCACAAAACTAGACTATTCTCTAATTCTATGTTCATTTCGAAACTAACAAGGAATTAATGGTAAACCGGTTGATTTATCACTTCTTCAAGTCAAATTTCTAAACAGTGGTCCCAGATAGATATCACTGGGCAACATTATACATTTATCCAAGTAAATTAAAATAAATCTGCAAATCAAACTACAAAATGTAAAACACAAGGCCAAATTAGAGAGAGAGATGGGTTTTAACGTCCAATTGACATAAACTAGGTCATTTTAGGACAAACATATGGTTTAATTTTATTTCAATTATTTGCTTGCGCATAGGGGTCTTTAGCATTGGGAGGAAACCAGAGAAAACCAACAAGGTTGGACATGTGACCCTACTACTTGTCACATTCAAGCAGGGAATCGAAACCACACTATGTGACTCAATGACAGACCTTCCGATCCAATGCGCACATGTTAACCATTTAGCCACCTAACCTCCCATTCTCCAAAGAACAAGTCTGCTAAGTAACATGTTGATCGTACTAGAATAGGCAGATTACGAGATGTTTGAAACAAAAAAATACATCTGACATTGTGCCTTCAAACCACATTTCTTTCAAAGGAGTGACAATAAACTCAAACTCATCTTACCTCAAGCTATCTAAAGTATCATCATTTCCTCCAAATAATCCATTTCTATAACACAGATTCTTTTTATTAGCTTTCATGTAAACATAGTTGTCCATATGTAGAATTTCAGAGAAGGCTATGTGATCATAACGTTTTACAGGTACATTGGAATTCAACCATTGTTTTCGCTGTATATGAATACACAGACATTGAGGTAACTAAAAAAAAACAACACACAATTGACGGAATAAAATGAGCAGTAATTTATGTTCGAATAAAATGTCAGCAAATTATTTATACAAAATCTAAATTTTCCTAATGGATTTAATTTTACAGAATTATAGTTATATAAATTACAAATGTTATATTATTTTCATAATATTTTATTTGTCATAACTGTTTTACTAACATCTTGGAAGACATCGAAGTTAAAAGACACTAAAAGCTGCTCAATATGCCTGCTTTAAAGGAGGCAAATCTTTAACTCAATATCATCCACAGTCTTGGATTAGTAATGAAGCAACTCGATGAACGAGGCTTAACATATCCCACAGGAGAATACCACCAGTGTTGACTGGAATACCGTTTCAATTCTCACTCTTCGCGTATTTTGACGAATATAACTGATTAGAACTTACAGTAAAAACAGAAACGATTGAATATAAATAAGTTTATACACAGTCATATTACATTACATCCCACTTCTACCTCGTTGCCAGTGATAACCTTTGATAAAACTGTCCTGTTTATTTCCAATACAGGCATAAAAGTATCCGTGTATCAGAAATGAACAGTACGCTTTCCATAAAGAGTACTGTTCATTTCCGACAAACAAACACTTTTATACCAGCTGGATGAAAACAAACGCCTAGAAAGTCATAAATTTTATTACAAATAAATTTCAAAGGACGAACCATCCACCGATGCACACTTCACCAGGATTGACCAACGTTGTGCAGTGTCCTTTACATTTAATATAACTGCAGTCCTCTACGCCAGGGACAAGTTGTTTTGACGATGTGGTTGGCTCTATGTTTACTTACTTAGTCAAAACAACTTCGTCTTTCAATACGGAGTGCAGTCTAAAGAAAACATGTGACTGTTTTACGCTCAGGGTAACGCAGCAAGATGAACATGTAAATACTGCGAAATCATTCTACCACGAAATGTAACTCGAGGCACAGAAAGGGATAAATGAAAGAGCAGAAAGTATTTGTCGCATTTCGCTTGACACGACTCGATAATAAATACTATTTTTCACATTTCGCTTCACAATACTCGATAGAAATGTGATGTAGGTGACTTATTAGCGCCTTTCCTCGGTGAAGATCAGGACAGCTTTGGTCGGGGGCCGCCTCGGCTGGGCCCATCGACCAAAACTGTCCTGATCTTCACTGATACACCTCAGAAAGTGTGCTAATAACTACTACTTATCATATGCCTTGCGTCCATTTCTAGGTGCCAAAGAATAGCGATTTAGCTCCTTTAAGAGATCCGACAAGCTCTGCAAGATTTATTTTTGGTTTTAAAAGATTAAGCCATAGGAAAGAGAGATTTGAATTTGGTTGCCTTTAAGAGATCTAACAAGCTCTGTAAGATTAATTTTTTGTTTTATAAGATTAAGCCATACGAAGGAGAGATCTGAATTTGGTTGCTATTTCTTCAAAAATGGTACACTGAGATGAATATGGCTATAAACTACATACAACTAAAGATGCACCTACCTTGCCTATTGTTAGTTTCTTTTTAAAACTAAAGATGCTCCTACCTTGCCTATTGTAAGTTTCTTTTTAAAACTAAAGATGCACCTACCTTGCCTATTGTTAGTTTCTTTTTAAAACTTGATTTAGGAATATCTTGTGTTTTTAATATTTTAGCACAGCCAGGACAATCTACATTATTCACTGTTTCTGGACATATAAAATGTCTTAATAACTGGTCTAAGGTAAGAGGGCCCTGTGTAGTAAAAATAAATGTTAAAAATTCATCCCTTTTTAAATATTACTGAAGATCACATACTTCATACATGTACTCCAAAAAATATCTAATATGAATATTGTAGAATTTAATACATTATTTTAAGAACTTCTGTAAAAATTCATCCCTTTTTACTGAAGATCACACTGTTTCATACACTCAAATTTTTCATATGAATATTGTGAAAATGAATACATTATTTTAAGAACTTTTGTAAACTGACTGAAAAATCTAACTCACCCAATATTTTTGTGGGAAACTGAGAGAGAGGCTGTCAAATAAGTCATATTTCACTGGATAGCGATATTTACATTTATAACATTCTAATTGGCTTGCTAGTAAGCCACGGAAAGGGTGATCCATTTCTCGACGAGGGAGGATGGGTAACTTGCCTTGACTTCTAATAAAAGCTACACCATCAGGTTGATATTTATTACATGGATTCTGAAATGAGATAAAACAAAACATATAAAATATGCATTCACAAGAACTTAAAGGGTCATTATGGAAGAATAGATAAAGAACTGGCAGTTCTCAATACAGTCAAATTCCTCCACTCTGAATTTTAGGGCTGGCTTGATCATCATTACTAAAGTTGGTACGATAAAAAACACAGTCTCGATTATCCATTTTTGGATTTAATCATCAATGAGTGTTGAGCAGCAAATTGGATTCAAATCCAGTGAAAATCCGACACATAAGATGGCATCATGAGTTAATTAAGGTCTTTTCATGTTAATAAATATCTAATTAATAGTTTCTATAACATTTCAGGCCCACAGAAAGACCGGCAATAAATAAGCAGATTTAGCTTGTGTATAATGTATGTTAAAGGGAGGTAACTAAGAAAATACACCAACAGATTTGATCCAAAGACAATCACACACAGCTGAGACGACCATTGGTTATCACGATTTCTTGACTATAGTCGAACCAACTGAATCTGAATTTCATTTAGTCCGAACTTTATGGTCGGAGTAGTTTCAAGATAGCGGGTGTTGATGAAACATAAGTGTAAAATATTTAGAAATAATCTATTTTTGTTTAGCATATGATTTTAAAAAAAAATGTCTGAAAGAATTTTAAATGGTTGCTACTTCTATGAGCAGATATTTCTTGTCTTGTGTGTTATGTCTAAATAAATGTAAGTCTAAAAATGAAGCATAATTTCAATATTTGTGCTATGCAAAAAGTAAAGTCAAATTACAAGGAATTTAGTCCACGGGGCCAGCCATCCTTGAAAAGACGACGGTCTGGACAATCTGCATTTGTTTACAAGTTCCGACCACTAGTTGTGAAAACATTATAACCGAAGGTCGTCCAGTATAGCATGTAGATGGTTAGTTGAGATCTTGTGTTTAAATATTTGAAGCATGAGTATTGTACCTGTAAGGCTTGTACATCAAATAATGATACAACACTAGGATATCTTGATGTTTCTTCTTCTAATGTTTGGGTTAAAACATGAAATAATTCATGACTATCCTAAAAAAAAACAAACAACCACAAATAATAGCAATTTATAACGATAAATAATTTTCGCTATTTCCATAATCAGATTGCTAGGTTATTAATGAACACATCCTCACACATTGACATTACAGGCAAGTTGAAATCAGCTTCCATTGTTTATATTTGTATATTTCATGCAGATATTCTTTTGCTGAATGGAGTGGTAATTGGTACTGGTTATGTCAATTCTTTAGAGGTTATCGCTCGATTATGGAAATCAGTAAATGACAGAAGTACATATCACATACAACACTGCATGAACAACTATTATTCTAGTAGGTCTACATAAATGATCTAAGTTCTACATATAAATTTGGGATGTTTATGTTTTGCTGAATTCAGAAAGCTTCATGATTCATGCTTAAGTTTGCTATCAATTCCTATCAATGTTGAAATGTGAAACATCACAATGTTTAAAACAATTTTATATATTTTGTTATGAAAGTCATGTTACCTGTTCATCAGGTGATATAATCCAACCCCTTCTTCTTAAAGCTTCAAGAACTTCACCTGGACTAAAAGGATCTAGTTCACAATCACCATCATTATTTAATACTACAAAACAAATATAATTTATCTTACAATTTGTAACTGCATTTCAGAATGAGATATTTATGTAATACTGTGTAAAAATAACTGTTACTCATAGAAAGCCAATTTCCTAGTCTGAAAGTCAAACAAGGAAAATCATCTGTTATCATTATCAGGAAGATGAAAAATCAAGATTCTATGTACAACACTGACAAAAAGTGAAAGATCCCCTTAAACAGAAGTAGGTTGCAGTGCAGCTGTCAAGGTAAAATTTCCCTGACAACCACAGCACACTATCTTTCACATGCTTGTCTTCTAACTGTCAGTAAAGCCTCTACCAAATCACTTGCGAAGTGTAATTTTGAATTTCAATAGCCCATTTTTTTTTTGTTTTTTAACAATTTGAGCTGGTCTGGAAAACTATTATAATAGCCCTGGTACATTGTATATGTGTAAGAAAGGAAGGTCTATGCATTGTGACACAGATTAGAGGTTACTCGCATTCCATTTGCTTTCACAAATAGAAAATCTGCTTTGTTTGATACAAGTTAAATTCAAAATATATTTTCACAACTACTGATTGCATTATTTCTACTTACAGCGTAATACTTTTAAGATAGTAGCAGCCAGGTATTTCTTGACAGTAGATGTTGATACATGACGAGATAAGAAATTACCCAACCACACTGATACAGAGGGACAAGCTGACCATGATTGTAATACTGCATTTAGAAAACAAGTATTGCCAAAGTTAACTAAACCAGGGCAATAATCTGAAACAATAAAATATCATTGAATTACAGCCCAAAACAAATGAAAATATTACCAAATGGTGTGAACAATGTATTGGATGATATCATTCAAATCCTAATTGTGAAGTCCCCTGTGTGCGTGTTAAAGTTAAAGATACAATGGAAGAATAGATAAAGAGCTGGCAGTTGTCACTATAACAGTTAAAATCTAGTTAATGTAAAGGGAATATGCTGAAAATTTCAGTCAAATTGTTCCACTCTGAACCGAGGTATTAGCGTTTGAATTTTAGGCTTAGCCTCCATCATCATTACTAAAGTTGGTACGATAAAAAACATTATTCTTTTTTGGATTAAATCGGATTCAAATCTAGAGAAAATCTGACACATAAGATGGTACCGAGAACTGATTAAGATATTTTAATGTTAATAAAATGTCAAATTAATAGTTTATATAACATTTCAAGCCCAAAGAAAGACTTGTAATAGACAGATTTAGCTCTTGCATAATGTATGTTTAAGTATATTACATATCCCTATATTTTTTTTCTTTGACCCTCTGATATCAGCTACACTGACATTCATTGTCCGAGTACCAATCATTTTATCCTGGCTATAAGCCGTGTTGACCACATTGAATCCAGAACCAAATAAATCATTTTTGGGCCTAATATAATAATAAAATTGGACCTGGTAATATCAACAGTTTAGGTATGGACTATGGTGATCAGAACCTACGTAATCATACTACTGTAGTTGTTGCTATTCCAGGCCTAAAATTTGGTCCGGTTGCTTGGTCACCCAGACAATTCACTACGTGTGTGTTGACCCGGCAACTGTGCCCCACGCAATGAACTGTTTTTGCTGCATAAAGTATAAAGGTAGTTTTAAAATAAAACAATCAAGGAAAAATTTGATTTATAACTTTTGTTCATAATATTCAATATATATGCTTGTTAGTTTTAAATTTTAAATAATGAAAAAAAAATATGTTTCTGAATCTCAAAATTCCACTTGAAAATAGTATTGCCATTGGATTTACCATATCATAATTTCGTTTCACTTGCAATTTGATTTCTTTTGGCAAACAAAAAAGAATTAATTAACAAATACTGAAATAGAAGATAAGAACTTCAATATAGTCTTAAAACAGAGGTGGTGATAGACTGGGTTTTCATATTGCAGCTTAAGAAGGGACAGGGAGGGTTTGAGTTGAGGGCAGACGATTTTCCCAAATGGCAACACTGTCTACTGGCGCAGCAGCAACCTAATATAACAAGACTCAAGTCACTCAAGAGTAACTAGTTACTATACTTGTAACGTTAAACTGTGTGTTTAACGTTACAATTGATACAGTCTAAGAATCCTTACGCAAGTTCAAATAGGTTCAAACGCACAATTGTCAACACATATCACTACAGTTTGTATTGGAATAAGTAATTCTATGACAAATAGTGAAGACTGGACCACTAAAATAGTTACCGAACAGTTTTTCTTTGTGGTTATGCGTTCTACATTTGCATAGCGATGTTTCTTATAATGACATTTTACATAAGCCGCCATGACACCAGCCAGTTGAAATTTCGCGTAGCAGTTGGGTTTCATCAAATCATATAATTATGCGGCAAGGCTTCACCTTTATTTCAATAGGAATTGATTTATTATTAGGTGTAGTACTGTTTTGGGTCAGTTTATGTGTAAATTAAGGGAGCTACATGTATAGGCCAGTAATCTTTTTGTAGTGATTTCACTAAAAAACTTGGGCAAAGGAACTCTGTAGGACGAGCCACTACTGTGGCTGGAGTAAGGCGGAAGACATCAGAGTGGAACCATTTCTAAAGAGTTACGTGAAACTGAAACGTCTAAACTTTTTATTGTAATTCAAGTAATTGTAACATAATTTTTACCAGCTGTTTTTTTCTTCTTCGGAGGCCCCCAAAATATATAGGAACCTAGTGCTGCGACTGCTGCCACGCCACTAATTATAAAAGCCGGTCTAGCAAACATTATGTTCACAATTTTCGATACTTTTTGATATAAAACAAATGTTAATCAGACGATATCGTACGACATCAACAAATTTGGGATTATAAAAATTTCCAACTTCATCAACAGAACTAAACGAAACTCATTGACACGTTGTTAGAAGAAATATATGTTTTGAGAAAAAAAATAAAAGATAAATTTAAATATATTGTTATTTTGCAATTCATGAAAATATATCAACTAATGACCAATGCATTGTTTAAATAAATTATATGAACATAGTTTTGCGTATGTCGCTTACAAAATCCAAAATCCTAGTTTTGATAATCTGAATTAGGATGAGGCAATTTCAACACAGTGACTGCAGGTTATATTAAACAGAACCTTAGTACCTATGTCAGGTTGTAACAACTAATCTAAATAAAATATTTTGTTTTTCTATGCAAAGTATCATTTGGAATAAGATGTCTAAACAGCGCATATAACTTCTGATTTGATTTGTGAAAACCTCGAAAGCTTTCAAATTTAGTATACCCCCGTTATAAAAATAGAATGTCCTAAGTTCCTGTGTATCGCTAGAGGGCGGGCGAGAGCGAAACTAAAAGTAGAGATGTCAGAGACGGATGAATTGAAGATAAAAGTAATATTTAGTGCTTTATTATAACCCATTTAAACCATATTAGTTGTGTATTTCTTTTAATACTTTTACACCAGATTTTAATTTAAACATGTTAGATAGATAATTATTGTACAATGTTTTATATTTTCATTCAATTTTGCAAACTCTGTTGGTTTCTGTTTGTTGTGATGCTGATAGTGATTTCACAATTCGTTGAGATTTCTGAGAAATTTCCTTTCAGTCAGCATTTGGGGATCTATTATTAGACCTTAGCTTTTATTATTATGATATCGATTTTATCAAATAAAAGGCTTAAAAAATGATTTGGATCAAATTTAATTTGTTTGATAATAGGTACCGGAATACTTTTTAAATTATCTCAAACTATTCACTTACAAATAGGAAAACATGCCCTTTTCCATGACCATGCTGTCCCATTTCTATGGAATAAACTACCAAAGTCAATGAAACAATTAACATGTGTGGGGCGTTGGCTGTTTTAAATCTTGACTCAAAACAATCTTGTTTCAAAACCCTGATACATGTATGTAAATAATAAGTGAATTTTACAACCAACAGTGCCTTAGAAACTATTTGTCAGTATTAGCACGCTTTATATAAATGATATTATTATTATTATAAATCCAATGATTTATTTATTTGTACAAGTGTTTTTCCTGCTTGTTATTTTAAACAAGTCATTGTGCTGATTATTCAGTTGCATGGATAAACACCATTAATATGATAGTTATTTGGACGCCAGTTATTTGTCCTGTGTATCTAATTGGTAGCGTTAATTATGGTGTATTTTGTGAAAAAACTGAATTTGTATGGTCTGACAAATGCCTGATTTGAAGACCGGTGTAAGGACTCATACATGTAGTTAAATTCTTCACCATGCTGTCATCTCAGCTGTATAAACAAATGCACCTGAAACTGCTGATTTTTAATAATCACATTGTTGAAAATTCATGGCTATTTTTTTTTTATTGAATATTCTTGACCTAAGAAATCACTATTTTTTTTAATTTCCACGAAAAGTGCCACAAATACATGTATGATTGACCTGAAGCTGGAAGTATTATTAATTTTGGAGCTTCTGCTGATTGTAAACCTGGAGCAGTGGGCCTAGGGGTTAACATTATGTTGGACAATAAAATTGTTAACTCTAATATCAGTACATCATATACAGTACGTCTCACTCTTATATGAAATTTTTATTGTCAAGGATTCTTTTACGTACACGTCAATGTTTACTCAGGACAAACAACAATATGTTGCCCCTATCCAGGCCCTACATGTACGTCCTGCAAAACTGACATGGGGGAACCGTGCCGGAAAACCCTGATGAACTTTCTCTCTCAGTCAACACAGGGATCAAACATGGGACCACCAGGTTAACAAGCCAATTTCTTACTCACTAAACCACCATGGCTCCTCACACAATCTTGGAAGTTTTATTCTTTGGGATCACCAATTACAATTTGAGCTTCCTATGTCTTAAGGTTTACAAACAAAAAGCACACTTGTTGTTCTTCTAAAAAGCTTTCAGTTTCAAAATTTTAAGTTTTGAAACTTTAAACGAAACTTTGTTCACAACACTCCAATACTATTCATTTATCAAGACAGCCTTAGTAAAGATATTTTTTCACATTGGTAATAATTTAGTCTTATTATTATTTCAGGTTAGTTCTATTAGTGATGATTATAGTATATCATGGAATCACAGTCTTGGTACTGGTGTAAGTGGACCTGTCAGGTAATAATCATTCTATCAACCATTTCTTGGAATAATGTAATATTATAATTGTAGACAATATTTGAAATATGTAAAAAGTGACTGTTATTATTATGTAATTCAGTACATCCAGGTATAGACAAGAAATTCATTGGTCTAGCTTGTACAGAATTATTGTTGCATTATTTGTCTAGACCGATAAAGATGGCTTTTTGAAATCAATAGAAAACGATAACTTAAATGTGTCAATAGATTTTCGTTATTCGATTTCAATTGACTGACACCAAAAGAGTTTTTGCTGGTTTTTTTTTGTCTACAATGAATAACTTACTAATATTAATTCAATGAAATTAACTGATGTTAAAAACTACACAAAAAGATATATATCATTTTAAAATATTGATAGTTCCTGGGAATGTCTCAAATATACTAAAAACAGTTCAAAAATTTATCATTTTAAATGAATATCAGAAAGGCAGTCGGATAATGAAAGAATATTTGAATAGTACAATCACTATTCTGTTGATGGATTTGAATTATTTTGGACCAAATGTTTTTAATAAAACTACTTATAAGTTATGATGTTTGTGTATGGTCTTAAACTCTATAATTAACCATTAATCTGGCCTTCTGGGGGTTCCTAAGTTATTTTTTAGGCTTCCTTTCTCTTTCACTTAACATATGAAAACTGTCAAAGATCAAATCAAGACTGATATTAGCATTATATTGAAGTGAATGTAATATTGTAATAATATAAACACATATATTATATTGTAATCATTTTACAGACAATGTACAGAAGTATCAACTGGTCAAAAGTTTGCTGTGAAATGTATTCCTGACAGTGCTAAAGCTAGACGAGAAGTACATATTCACTGGCTATGTCGAAGTCATCCAAATATAGTTGATATGAAAGATGTTTATTGTAATAAAATTAAATTTCCTGATGAAAAGGAACACAAGTATGTAGGAATTTTAAAAATGGCTTCTTAAACTGTCTAGCATGTCTGTTTCTTTCTTTGATTAGGAAATGAAATGAGGTTTCAAGTCCTCCTTTTCTCTCAAACAGCTGGACTAATGAAGATGGGCATACACGATACAGTGTGGTACATGTATGAGGTAAATTTTGCCTGGATAGCGGAACCACAGGCTACTTTTATTTCAAATTCCAAATGTCAATGGTTCTTTACGCCATGGCCGATATGTACACAGGGCCTCTGTTTTCCATCCCATACTTACGACTAGACACTGTTCCTTGACAGGCCCTCCGTCCTGCACGACTGACAAGGTCTACATTAGGTCTATGTAGATCTATTACATAGTGTAATGATATCCAATGATATATATCCCTTAGTCGTTTAAAGGAACTAAACTTATTTGATGTGGATCAAAATCAAGATTTTATTTTGGTTGATTTCCTTTTATTTTGATAAGTGTTGGAAGAAGCTTTATGCAATTTAATGGTCACTTTTATAGATGAAGTAAGAGTTCTGCTCAACTTTTAATTTCATTTTTTATTTATATGTCTGCAGTGCAACACAAAATTTTTCACATCTTGACACAGGTTTTATCAACAAAGACAGATTGGCAGCCAAAGAACAAATTAATGCATAAAATTCAATGTAATCAACCATTTTAGTTTTGACCCATTTATGACAGATTTTAGTATTTAGATTTCCTAATTGCTATTACAAACTACAAAACAACCATGCATGGACTTATATAGAATAAAAGATAGAATTAATTAATTGACCCAGTAACAATAAAGATGGTGGTATAAATCAGTACAAACCAATGTACATTTTAAGCGGACATAATATAAATGAGAAGTGATTGTTTCGAATAATCTTCAGACATATATGATTTCTGGTAAAAGTATTTAACATTATTCTTGTTTGTTGTCCCTTTAATTTGAATGATTTAAGTTAATTTATCATGTTCTTTACTTTTGTGCAGATCTCGACTGTTGGTTGTATTAGAATTAATGGAAGGTGGAGAATTGTTTGATCAGATTAGTAAACAACATAATTTTACAGAGAAAAAAGCTGCACATTATCTACTACAAGTAAAGAGCATAACATTTTATTTTCTGTCTTTGGCTTCTATCATTGGCATGTGTACTTCACTGTCCTGTAAACCTTATGGATTTGTCAAATATGACTCCCTCTTGTACGTATCAAAGCTTTTCTAAGGATGGGAACTCTTTAATCTATTTTTCCACTTGACACAAACTAGGTCATTTAGGGACTAACACATGATTCAATTTTATTTCAATAATTTGCTTGCGCGTAGTGGTCTTTAGCAGTGGGAGGAAACTAGAGGACTCGGAGAAAACCCACGAGGTTGGACAGGCGACCCTACTCCTTGTCACGTACAACAGGGGAATAGAAACCAAGCCAGTTGACTCATTGACAAACCTTATGATACAGCGCTCATGTGCTAACCATTCGGCCATCCACCCCAGCTGGTTATATATGTAATGAGACAAAGTAATAAATAATAAATATAAGCCAATTATTTGGATTTGTCTCCCCTTACTTGTGACTTTCAGAAGGATAGAAGAGATTAATGCATACACCTGGCAACATATAATATGAACAGAGCACTAGTGACTGTTTACCATAAAAACTGTGTTCTGTTAATGTGTTTCTCATTTGCTAAATGCCACTCAAGTGTGATATGAAGTAATTGTTTAATGTTTCAGATATGTCAAGCTGTCTTCCATTGTCACGCATCTAATATTGCTCATCGAGATCTTAAACCAGAAAACTTACTGTTATCTGATAAAACTAATGTAAGTACAAATAATATATAATATAATACTAGAATAATTGGAATGGATACAATCACTTTGTTTATTACATTGCAACGTTTCAACAAGATTTTACAAGTCATATTCGTACCAAGTCATTTGCTAAATATATCTTTAATGAGAACAATAGATGGGGGTGTAGTATCTTAAAGATACTTTCCCAGAAAAGTATTTATCGGGTGGTTCTTTCAAATAAAATTATGTTAAATTTGGTACCTGGTATATATATGGAAAGTATAGACACTCAATCTTACTAGAGAAATACTGGATTACTGGAAAAATGCTCATGGGGCAAGCACTGGACAAAATTGTCAGGGTATCACTAACTGACAACCCGACTGTTATCTGGCAGCTTATTGTGTGCCAGCTTAAATGAGAGAGCGGTTGTTATTTCTTGATAAAATGGTTAGGCAGTTTTGGGAACATTGAGGGGTGTCAACGTACAAAAGACTCTGCAAATAAACTGCAGAAAAAGAAGCGTACAGAAATAATTAAGAATTTACTTAGGCCTCAATATGTATCTTAAATGTACAGTAAGTAATGATAAATACATTCTGAAAAATGGCCCCTCCCACAATGAAGCTAAGTTGACAGACATTGCATCTAACAAAAGCTTACGTGTAGCTATAGGTATCGCGGCGAATACAAAGTTTTGAGAGGGAATTGAAGCAAATTTTTGATAGATTGGTTACTTTGAATATGTTTATAGTCAAAATATATCATCAAATCACAAAGTTTGTACACGGGATTGTATCTTTAAACACCCAGAGATAGTTCTGTGTTTGTGTAATCTGTGTAGCAACTGTATAAACATCATAGAATTGATTGAAACTATTTATTTGACCTGATTTGAATTACATAGATAGAGACAGTGTTCAGATTTATCCATAATCGGAATAACTCTTCAAATCAACCCAACCAAATAGACTTTTTTATACCCCAAAGAGTTTATGTTCCTTTAAATTAGAGCTAGAGACATGCTGTATTGTAAACAATTATTTTTATTATGAAATTTACCTTATTTTGTATTATTTAACAGAATGCAGTATTAAAGTTGTCAGATTTTGGTTTTGCTAAGTTTGATGATGGAAATCTACAGACTCCATATTTTACCCCATATTATGTTGCTCCTCAGGTATGTAGTCTTATGTACATTGCATTCATGTGTTATATTCAGAATGTATCCCATAAATTAAAATGTTATATACATGTAATTATTATTTAGACATTCATTCACACAATAAGCCCATAATCAACCCTCTAGATTAGATTAGACAAGGTCAGGTCTGTCATATCTACCTTTAAAGCTAATATGGCAGTTAAGCTGAATTGTCTGAAAATGTATGACGTCAGTCACAGAGTCTGCTGATAAAAGGCCGAATAATATCTAGTTATACGCATCTTTTTTTATATATTAAAAGTCTTATTTGGATTAAAATTAATACATATTTAATTGCTCCCGCTGTCTGAAACCTGATATAGGTAGCTATTCATAACTTTGCTCCAAATAAAGAAATTTAAATGAAATTTTCAATATACAGTGTATTCATTTTTCATTATCTTTTTTTGAACTATGAAAATCCAGCTCTTTATCTAAATCTTACATAATGCCTTTTTAACCGTCTCGTTAGTATTAATTTGGATAATGGCATCCATCTATCCCTATGAACCGAAGAAAGAGAACCCTTTTTTCAGGTCAGGGATCTAAAAATATCTGTTTGAAGTTTCATTCTGAAATGTGAGACAGAGAGAGAAATGGGGTTTAACGTCCACTCGACACAAACTAGTTCATTTTGGGACTAACATATGGTTAATTTTATTTCAATAATTCTTTAGCAGTGGGAAGAAACCTGAGTACCCAGAGAAAACCCACAAGGTTGGACAGGTGACCCTACTCCTTGTCGCGTACAACCGGGGATTTGAAACCACGCCAGTCAACTCAATGACAGGCTTTATGATACAGCGCGAACATGCTAACCATTCGGCCATCCAACCCCCCATTCTGAAATGTAGCTTTAGACAAATGTCATGTTTGGTCAAAAGAGAAAAAGACATCCATTTAAAAAAAAATCTTTTATTTAAACTCTTAATCTTTTCACCAAGATATCAATGTAATGATATATTTCTACTTTTTATTCAAGTTCTCAGAGTTTAATCATCATGATTATATTTTTGTAGGTTCTGGAGGCTCACATACAGAAACGCTTGATCCGTAAAGATCCAAGTGCCGCAACTAATAAGAAGCCATGTTTTTATGACAAGGTAGTTTCTTGATTTAAAAATACAAATTGATTATTCTTTCCATAATTTATTTAATTTCCCTCCACAAAAAATAAGCTAGACCTAAAATTTTCAATAGACAGTTCAAGAAAACAGCATGTACAATATATATAATGATTCAGATAATTTCTGTGACATTAAGTGTTCAAGAAAACTAAGTATACTCTGCCCAATGCATGTCTTCAATCCTGACTTGTAACTATGAAACCAAGACTGGCCAGTAATTATAGAATGACCTAGTGACATTTGAAATATTTTCTTGATGCCAATTGTTGTTTTGTTATTTGAGAACTTAACTGATGATTACAAATATAGTTTAACATACACACTAACTACACTAACTGATGATTACAAATATAGTTTAACATACGCACTAACTACACTATCCGATGATTACAAATATAGTTTTAACATAAGCACTAACTACACTAACTGATGATTACAAATACAGTTTAACATACGCACTAACTACACTAACCGATGATTACAAATATAGTTTAACATAAGCACTAACTACACTAACTGATGATTACAAATATAGTTTAACATAAGCGCTAACTACACTAACTGATGATTACAAATATAGTTTAACATAAGCACTAACTACACTAACTGATGATTACAAATATAGTTTAACATAAGCACTAACTACAGATTTATTTTATTTTTCAGAGCTGTGATATGTGGAGTATAGGAGTCATATTGTACATAATGCTGTGTGGTTATCCCCCCTTTTATTCAGAAACACCGTCCAATCATTTAAGCTCGAAAATGCGAAAAAAAATCTTGTCTGGTGATTATGAATTTCCAGAAGATGATTGGCGGGATATATCTAAGTCTGCTAAAGATATAATTAGTAGGTAAGTTATTATTCTGATATCAGGGCATATGATAAGAAAGAAAAATTGATTAGCAATTATTGGATGTTTTTAAAGTGAAGTGCTAATCAATCTGAACAATTTCTAAAGGCCATAATTTTTACCGGTATACAACTTATATTTATTTGTGTATGGGTGACTTTTATTCCCTTTAACAGACTTCAACTACGAATAGTTTTATGTTATGTATCATATTGTGTTCTGAATACAAAAAAAAAAATTGGTGCACCTCGCTATTTTCCGTAATTCAATTCCCATACAGTATTCAAATTTAAGTCTGTAATATTCCTACAAAATTAAATGTTTTCATAATACGATAGAATAAAAGCGTACAGACCCGTGGCAACCTGCTTCAAATTCATGACCATAAAGTATTCCTCCAAAATTACAGGGCAAAAAATGAAAGCAAAATATCTGTGATAAGAAAAGTTTGTGATGTCAAAACATGGTTTGTCTTCATTATAAAACAGTCTTTTAAAATTACATCGTCGAATCGAAATCTGTATGCAATGCATGCATTGTCGCCATGTTGTTATTTGGCCACATGAACTTTTTTCCCACTAAAATAAACCAAGTGCCATTTTAGTAGCAAAGTAGTTTGTTAAACGACTAAAAATTAGACTGGTTATCAAATTTAACGTTTGTACTTTGTACTAATTACTTAATTAGATTATGAAACTGACTGACTGTAAAAAGGTTAGCTTACAATTAGTTTATTGACTAATCTAGTTGACAGACTTCAAGGAGATTAGGATTAAAATGTCCGTACGCAGTTGAACGGTAAATCATATTTGGGACAAGAAACTTGATTCACAGATTCTCTGCTAATCAAATCAATATTTTGATTCACATTTACGTCATTTTTGTTTAGCAAACTGCGATGCGATACCGCTTATCATAATCCCTGTCTGATATAGATATGGAAAGGAGAGAGAGAAAGAGATGGTATTTAACATCCACTCTGAACAAACTAGGGGGGGGGGGGTTGGATGGCCGAATGGTTAGCACGTGCGCACTGTATCATAAGACCTGTCATTGAGTCAACTGGCGTGGTTTCGAATCCCCGGTTGTACATGACAAGGAGTCGGGTCGTCTGTCCAACCTCGTGGGTTTTCTCCGGGTCCTCCGGTTTCCTCCCACTGCTAAAGACCCTACGCGCAAGTGAATTATTGAAATAAAATTAAACGATATGTTAGTCCCGAAATGACCTAGTTTGTGTCGAGTGGACATTAAACCCCATTTCTCTCTCTCTCTGAACAAACTAGGTCATTTCTTGACTCGCGCATAGGTGATTTTAGCAATAGATGGAAACCAGAGAACCCAACCCGGGATATGTAAATGAATGGATAACAGTAGACATTGCACATGAATTTGTGCAAAACGATATTTAGGTTATTCTACATGTTTCAAGTTTTTAGCTATTCATATGATAATAACACCAAGAAAAATGGTACATTGGCGGGGGGTTAAAATGGCCTAGTCGGTCACCTCTGATTTGTGGTTTCGATCCCTAGTGTGAGCGGATGTGACTTGGAGATAGGGGTGCCTTCTCAATTTCGCGTGTTTACTCCAGTTTCCTTCCACATGAAAACCCACTTGTCAGCAGTATCACCCTCAGTGGAAGTGATTGTTAAGACCTGTAAACAAAATAAATACTAGCATTCATCCGGAATCTGTCAATGATAAGATTTATTTGCTGAAGGACATATTCGGAGAACTGACCGCTCATACTCATATTGTTGGTACTATCTCACATACCCCACCGTTTGACAGCATTTGGCTGGAGAAACTGACACTTGTATTGTAGGTTTTACTACTATGTCTACACCTTAAATCTGTTGGTTACAAGAATTTGTCATATGTTGATTTATGATTGAATTTTTTGAACAGGTTACTGCACATCGATCCCTCTCAGAGAATGACCATAGATGAACTAATAATACATCCATGGTTATTAAATCCTCAAGATACGAAACTCAGATCTCCTGTAGTATTAGCTGACAAGGTATAGTAAACTCAGTTCCTCTGTGGTATTAGCTGACTAGCTATAGTAAACTCCATTACCCTGTTGTATTATCTGACAGGGTATAGTGAACAGAATTATCTTATGGTATAAGCTGACATGGTATAGTAAACTCATTTCTCCTGTAGTATCATGTCGTAGCTGATAAGGTCTACTAAATACACTGAAAAATAATGTGTCGTACTAGCTGATAAGGTATAGTAAACTCAATGCTGCTGTATTAGTTGCTGTATTATTTTCCTGATAAGGTATAGTAAACTCAATGCTGCTGTAATATTTTCCTGATGTATAGTAAATTAAGTGCTGCTGTATTATTTTATTGATAGGGTATAGTAAACTTAATATGGCTGTATTATTTTCTTGATAAAGTATAGTAAACTCGATTCTACTTTATCATTTCCTTGTAAGCTGTAGTGATCCACAAAGATTTGAAAATAAACAAAAAGCATTGAAAAAGATCTGATCGAAAAACAAGACATGATTGACATCAGTAGATCTAATCAGAGTTTAATCTAAATCTATTTTACTTCAGGAAAGTTTAGAAGATATAAATCTAGCACATGGTAGTGAGCTAATGGTGATGAGACTAAATAGTACAAAAATCTGTCTCAAGCCAATCTCTACAGCAAATAATCCTATTATTAAAAAAAGACAACGAAGGTAATATATATATATTGATAACACAGATATTCAGCTAACAAGGCATTCACAAGGAATCAGAGATATTCAAGATTAGGTTAAATTGAATCTTTGAACGATCTGTGGCCAAAACTGTATATTGATTACCTTGTTTGTGAAACGAATCTAATTATAGTTTCAAGATAGCAGATCATTAGGTTGTAGAGGATATCACATCTCACTATACTTTGTAATAACACTGACCTAAATATAAGATTTAAGATAACAAGGTCAGGTATTGAGTTAAGAGAGTGAGAGTGAATAAAATGGGGCTTAATGTCTACTAGACACAAGCTAAGCCATTTCGAGACTAACATTGTCCATTTTTATGAGAAAACCCACAAGGTGGGACGTGTGACCCATTAAACTATTCAGCAACCCAACCCATCTATTGAGCTGAAGAGTAAGATTTAAGTTTTTGAAGTTGGAGAGTAAGATTTAAGTTTTTTGACCGCTGTGGGACTATTAAAATGTGCCTGTCTGTCTGTCCGTCCGTCACACTTTTTGGGACACAATAACTCTCCTTCTAATTGAGCTAGAATGTTCAAACTTGGTGTAGGTAGGTGTTTATTAGGTCAATGCCTTGATGGAGTTCGAAGATGAGAATTTTCTGCTTAGGGTAAGCAGAGATAAGCAATTTGATTGGTTGATGCTTTGGGACACAATAACTTTAGTTCTAATTAAGTGAGAGTGATGAAACTTGGTGTATAGTTTTATCACATAAATACCTTGACTAAGTTCGATAATGAACACTTTCTGCTTACAGTAAGCAGAGATAAGCAATCTGATTGGTTAATGCTTTGGGGCACAACTTTGATTATAATTAACAATTAAGTGAGAGTGATGAAACTCCCAGTATAGATTCATTATATCATTACCTTGACTAAGTTTGATTTTGAGAACTTTCTGCTTAAGCTACATTCTGAACAAATGAAACACGCTACCTACGGAGAAGTATCTCAGACACAGTCAATAGATTCATTATATCATTACCTTGACTAAGCTTGATTTTGAGAACTCTCTGCTTAAGCTACATTTTGAACATCTGAAACACACTACCTACGGAGTAGTATCTCAGACACAGTCAATAGCCATGATCTACACATCACAGGTCATGACATTGATGTCAATGGGTCATGAGGTCAACAACACGTTACATTGTAAACAATAGGTTTATCTTCAGCATTGTTTCCTTTGCACCCATAAAGACTAAATAATTCGTCCAGTCCCAACATGTTCTCTCTTCTTCCAATGATTTTTCACAAAAATAACATCTACAACTCATAGAATTGACGTCGTCTTCAATGAGATCAATTCTGTTGACTAATAGTTGATTTATTTCAGTTCTAAAACAAATATTTTAAACTTTAACGCAAATTTACAAAATAGCCAAATTCTGGCTGGGATTACTGAGCAAAATGGCCATTCAATTAAGCTAAGGATTGACAAGCAATTTGATTGGTCAAGACTTTGGACATAACAACTCTGCTTTTAATTGATGTAGATGTTCATTAGGTGAATGTCTTGACTGAGTTCAATGATTAACATTTCGAGCTAAAGCTAAACACTTTCATTGGTTGATGCTTTAGGACAAGATAACTTTGATTCTATCTGATAGAGATTGATGAAACTTAGTGTATAGTTGATAATCAGTTTGATTGCTTGATACTTTTGAAAAAAATAAATGTACGATAAATTAATATGTGTCATCTATTTATTTTAAGTTAAAGAGTAAGATCTAAGTTTATGAAATTGGAGAGTACAATTTAAGTTTATAAACTTAGAGAGTAGAATTAAAGTTTATAAACTTGGAGATTAACATTTAAGATTTTGAAGCAGAATGCATGACTGGCACATAATTTGCTTTATCTACAGAGGTAAATTTTTGAATGATGACTCTCATCTCACAAAACAAATCAAGACATAGTATTCAAAGTTTCAATTAAATTAGCAATTTTATTATTCGATCCAAACCAGAAAGGTAGTCTTATTTTAAGGGTATTTAATTTTTTTTGTGAGCAGATATTGGAGATTTCTATATAATTTTTTCAACTGCCAGTTGCAAAAGAATGTTTTTCAAACATAAACTAATCAAAATGTATCAGATATTTGCAATGAGCCAAGAAAGATAGAGTGTTGGGTGTACCAATACTATCAACTGGGATAGATCTCAATGTAAATTTCAATTTGCACAAATTATACCAGCTGATTTTAAAGAAAATTGAGTTTGCTAGGATTAAATGTATTTTATTTTAATCAGACTATTTCTTAAAACTACAATACAAGTCCTTAGGCTGGACGTGTGGGCAGAGGGGGCATGGGATAAGATACTGGACCGTTCATTACTTTTAGAGTTATGGACTGTGCTTACTTTTAGAATCCAGTGAACTCTCCAGCAACAGAAATTACCATAATATGAAGAAGAAGCCTAGAAAATTTCAACAATTTTTGTTTTACTAGGATTAAGACCGTTCTTATTTTATAGAATCCTGTAAATGCATTAACAACAAATATCATCTTCTTATCTACATTTAAATTTATGAATTTGTTTCAATTATTATTATGAAATTCAATAATTTCTAATAATTATTTCTTGAGCATTGAACATAATTATTAAGTATCAATGCTCCATTCGTCGTTTATGAAAATTTCGCTCTTTGTCACCTAACAAATAGCAATGTGGCAACCCTTATGGAATCTTTGGACAACTTAGCTGCTGTGATATTTTGTTGTCTACCACACACCATTAAAAATCTGCTGTGATCTGGTTACCTAGCATGATGATGTGTGAGACCTTAGCATAAAAATATTTTTCTTAGCAACTATTGAATTAATGTAAGCATTCCCTACAAAATGTGTGTATTTGGATTATAGCAACAAAAAAAAATATATTTGAATAGACACTGTTGTGTGCATGAACACGTAAAGCCCACATGTCTATAAATGTATTACAGTACATTGGTTGGCCTTCTTTATAGTCTTATTTGCTTAAAGTGATTCATTATGTGTATTGAAAAGCCCTGGTCATATTTATTGATTATTACCCGAATTATTATAAAGCTAATTAGACTGATTCTTTATTTTCATTCAAAGAAAAATTGAGCAATTATATTAATTAGCAGTTTGTGCTAATTGTGTGTATTGATTGACTAATAAATTGCTTTTGTACTATAGTAATGATATTTGTCTTTATATAGATCTTCTGTAGAAGAGTCTTTGGGATTGGAAGAACCCCCATTGAAAAGTCCTTCATATCTCAGCAAAAACAGGTATATATTTCCATTATCAGTTAATTGCACTTTGTAATATATAATAATTGGACTGGATTCAATTGAATGGAGTCTAACGCCTTATGAGCCATTTACTTAGGTCATTTTGAAACTAAAATACAACAATTTTTATTTCTATGGATAGAATGATTTTTCCCAGACAGTAGGATTTCAATTACTCTCCTTCAAATTCCAACTATTAAGGGTACGGGGAATGGTAATTTGTCATTTTTCTGAAATTCTCACTTCCCAAACACATCCACTTGGGGATTTGTTCATTGGGTCTAAAGACATAATTTAAAACCATTTTTGTATATATATTTCAAAAATTAGACCCACCCTGGGAGTATTGCCAAATTGAAGGCAAATTCAGCATGTTTTCAATATGTTTCCCTCCAAATTTAAACAAATTGAACCTTTTTAAGATAATAACTCGACTTAAACAGCTTCTAACAAGGTACCAAACACAACTAGATACAAAACAGATATGCTAGTACCTTTGTATGATTATTGCCTAAGCAAACCCTGCACCTAGGCAATTATCGTAGGAAAAAGATGAAGTTCTTTTCATGTTAAAAATTTGATTACATTTTCACAATTTCGTACTGCTTAATTTCTCATTACTTTGCATCTTAAAGACATAAATATGTAGAACATGATTATTACAAAGCAGATTATAAATCAAGCTAAATATAGCAGTTTCACGGCTGTGGTCTGCTTCCTGAAAGTTGATAAAAATCAGTTATTTGCCGTATTTGACCTGGCAGCGGCGGGCTGTATTGGTCCAGTGAATTCTTCTGCAAGTGGACGTAAAAAAATAATTTTTAGGCCCTGCCCCTCCCCATTAAAGGTTCTATTATGCACACTCTAATCTGAACACTGGACCATAATTTTTTGTTCCATCCAAATAACTAGACACCCTTTCATTTTTTGCCTCGATTCACCAAGGCTAAAGTACCAGACTTTAATATTCCTAAATTCTTTTTCTCTGCCTACCTTGGTAGTCAAACCCAGGATATTCTAGTTTCAATGCTCCTGAGTGCTTGACTACCATAACCACTTATAAGGGAGCCACAGTGGCTAAGTGAGTAAGGCATTGGCTCGCTAGTCTGGAGGTCCTGTTTTTGATCCATGAATTGACCGAGAAAGTTCATCAGGAAGGCCTGACAAGGATAGCTGTCTAGTATTTCGGATGGGTCCTGTTAATATTTTGGGGTGCACATGAAAGATCCCTTGGCAGTTGAATTCAATATAAGAATAGGCCATAGTGCTGCTGCTCGGGCAAAATTTCCCTCATAGCACACTGTATGGCATATGCTATCTTCATTAGCCCAGTCGGGGCAGAACAGTAGGATGTTAAACCCCATTTCATTCCATCTCAATTTTTAATAAAAGAAGAATCTGTTATTTTTAAAAATCTGGAAGCTTAATAGATTTTTAAACACTATTTTAAGAAAGTGTAATGTGACTCTTTATGAAAGTTATTTTAGAGGATGACAACCAATGCTTTGGAGCCATGGTTTGTTATGACACTTTATAACCAACAGTGCATTATTGTTTTTACCCACTTGAGATATTTTTTAGATTTTAACATTTAATTATAAATTAAATTTTTTAAATTTCAGTTGATATGAAAAGGGTTTTATTGGATCAGAAGAAATCAGTGCTGCCACCTATTGTATCTTAACAAAGATTTAAAACCAGAAAAAAAACCTATTTTAGTCCCTGTAAATAACAGTGTTCAACCAAAACTTCTTTTTTGAGTAGTTCATTATACTGCTGGGAACATTTTGTTGATATGCCCTTTTTGTATGATATTAAATACAAATACCAGTTTTTTTCTTTTTGTATGACATCTTTTGTGTATGGTATGTCCTTTTTGTATGACATATTTATATTGTAATAGAACAAATTATTGATTGACAACTGATTAAAAATGGAACTGACATAATTCAAATATTTTAACCTGCATGAATTTATAGTGGCCTGTGATAATGACAATTTTTAGCATAAATAATATATAATGGCTTTTGGCTTTCTTTGCTGTATATAACTTATGAATATTGTATAATTTCTTTGCTGTATATAACTTATGAATATTGTATAATTGTTGCCAGAGTAGTCATAGTCATTGTAGAAATTGTTACTATGGTCATATAAGATGTATATTATGTAATTTTTTGTTTATTTAATAGACTATACTTTAAACCCTCCGTGACCCCCCCTCCCCTCCCCTCTCCAAAACAAAAAAGAACAAGGACTAAGCTTCAAAAGTATCCTAGAACAACCCCTATTAGAGATATGGTCAGTATAATCTCAATCTACTCTAATTAAAATATAGATCTATATTTCGTTTTGTTTTTTATACTTTCGATGGCCTACACTACATGTAGATCTAACAAGTTATAGTGCGAGTTCACGTTCTATGACGTCAGGTACCAAGCAAGCGACATTTGACCCGATAACGTCTGTCATTCGATTAACCAATTAGCGACCGCCATGCTTTTTTAAATCTACTTTTGCTTTGTTTTGATTTCTATGCTGGTAATGTCTACCCACAGTTCCGGGCAAAAAAGGTCAAACGCTCTATTCGTCAGACCATTTGATTGGCTGACCCCTCATTTCAAGCAGAACACGAGATAAATAACAAGTCTTCCAGATCCAAGTGTAGTAAAGACAAGTAAAAACGAAATTTTGAACTATAAAAAACGAAACGAAATTGGATTGGTATAATCTTATTGGGTTGATTTCATACCTTACAGTTGACATAGAATTGTTACTACTTATTTATAATTGCATGTAGATATTTTTATAACATATTATTTTATTATATATACAACCTTGTTTTAGTCATTAATGAACAAGCATAGTGATTTTACACCATACAATTATTTATATTTATATAGCCTTAATGATTCAAGTTATATTTTATAGGATTTTAAAAAGGGTGGGTCACATTCCTGATATAAAAATAGATAATGAAATAGTCGTAAATGGCAGATGAAAACTCTACTCACAGTTCATGTTCTCGATAGTCAAGTACCTATGCCATTATAATTGATCAGCATTTTCAAGCAATATTACCGTTTAACGCAGATATGGTGGGCATTGACTAATCCACTCAATATATAAGCCATTGGATTACGTAGAGAGTTGATTATGGGCCTGTCATGTGAATAAATGTCTAAATAATATTTGATATAACATTTGAGGCCAGAAAAGCGTCTTGCAATAGGCAAGTTTAGCACATAAAATTATGATCCGAAGTGTTTCTTCAAAACTCATTTCCTGTCTTCGAGTGCACTGTGAAAATATCACTGAGACTTTAATCGAAGGATATATATCAGGGTTCATTAACTTATAGGTTCTGTGGGCGCTAGACAGTGAACCTTGTCTGGTTGATGAAATGTGTATTCATGTAGAAGTTGTGTGTGGTAATGATCATAGGTTTCTAGTGGAGGTTTATAATGTCTACTTTAATAATCATTTAACAAATCATGTTATTAATGCACGGCATTTACTATGGCTATTCTATTATAGACTATCGTCAGCTAGCTCAACCAGTACGCAGTTAAACGAAAATATTGACTCGCCAATGGAAGGGTTTAATATTGAGGTGTTCTATCCTTGTTTTTGGAAGATGCCTATTTCTGGTAAACCCCATCTTCAATAGAAGGATTGATCTCGCTTAAACTCCGTACATTTTATAAAACTCGCGGTCATTGCTGATATAATCATTTCTTCTTACAAATTGGAGGGATGGGCGAATTGGTTATTTTAAATTTCTTAAATCCTAAATAATGCCCGGGTCAAATTTCCCAATGTGCCTTCATTGGCTCGGTTGGTGCTGTGCGGTAATACGTTAATTCCCTTTAACTGGGACTCGGCTTACATTGTATACATTGTATAAATCCTGTTACTTATACATTAAAAATGCATAATGTGCGATTTAAATAAACAGCTGACTGTTCTTACTATAATAGTTCAAAAATACCGGTTAGCTGGCCTGTTACCGAGACTATTGGTTTATTGACATGAAACGGCAGGCGAGTTGAAGCTATTTTTAAAAAATTTAATGGTACATGTATAGGCAATACTTACCTTTTAGTGCCTCTGATTGTACTTTGTTAGAATTTATGTTTTTATTAAAATTTAAGATTTTTATGTATAAATTTTTTTGATGGTTTTATGTAAACTGTGCGTAAAAGTGAAAAAAAAAAATAATAAATTGTAATTACACTAAATTTTGTAATATTATTGTTTCATTTAGTTTTGTCCGTCAATTATTGTTTATCAAGCTGTAGAATAAATGTTTCAATAGAACTGAACAAAACGCCCTATGTGTCTAACGTTGTCATATGGGGATGTGGGGACCCAGTTGTCTGAGGCATGCGCTTTAGATCATAAGGTCTGTCATTGATTCAAGTGACGTGATTTCGATTCCTAGCTGGTGACAAGGAGTGGGCTCGCCAATCCCACTCCGTGGGTTTTCTCTCTGGCTAACACATTTTCCAATCTGAAATAAATTCCTGGATTCCGCATACTCCTCACAGTCATTCGTTTGATTAGACTTAATCCAACTATCTGGCTATTGGTTCAGGATTTCACAATTTGTTATCAAACATTTAAAGAATAGAGGGGGATCTGTCCGCCCATTGCTTCAGGAGTATGTTAGAGTGGGATCTCCCCGCACATTGCGCTAGAAATATGTTGGAGAGGGATCTCTCCACCCATATGTTTTAAGACGGGTCTCTCCGCCCATCGCCTCAGGAATATGTTAGAGACAGGTCTGTCCGCCCAATCGCTTCAGGAATATGTTAGAGACGCAATCTGATTAAAACACATTTCCTAATTTGGTTTCGATTTTATAGTTCAAAATTTCGTTTTACTTGTCTTTACTACACTACGATTTGGAAGAGTTGTTATATTACCGGCGTTTTGGTTGAAGTGAGGGATTAGCCAATGGAACGGTCTGTTACGGCGAGTTCTTGGCGTGCGATGCACGGAACTGGGTAAACCACTAGAAACGTCAACGCTGATTGATCAATCAACATCTGACGTCATAGGGTCAAAGAGCCCTCGTACGACCCCTGACACGACCTTCCAGTACAATCGGTCAGATTCGTGTAGTGTAGGCCATTGAAAGTATAATAGATTGAGAGACGGGTCTGTCCGCATATTGCTCCAGGAATATGTTAGAGAGTGGTTTCTCGGTCCATTGATTCAGAATGTGAGATGGATCAGTCGGGTTAGTGCGTCGGCAAATTGATGTTCCAGCATCTTTGAACTCATATGCGTTATTCAAACAACACACGATAATATAGCTACCTCAATATAGATGTGTTTATTACAAACACCAGATTAATAAACTGATAATAAAGGAGCTAAATATCTCACTCAATCTTCATCATGTTCGATATTAAAAACACGAATTAGAATTCAATATTGGTCCATGTCAACCAATATTGATGTTGCTATCGTACCGTAAATATTAAAAACCGTACAAGATATCATGGGCTCTATGGACATAATTGTTTCGAGCTCCATTTGTAAGTTACAAAGAAAAATATAGCCCAGAAGACAACACAGAAGTAATTAAAATGGCTGATTCACAAACGACACAATAATGATAACAAAAACGTGTAGAATGTACTCCACAGACGCAAACGATTCCAGTTCAATTTGAACTGTTCGCTTATTTAATTAGACATTTAAAAGATATGATAAATTTTTAAAATTGAATGTAAATTACTTTATATTATACACTCAAATTACATGTGTATTTCCTAAAATTGACAACTATACATTTAATATTGTTCTAATAAAGATGGGGGCTGAAACTCAAAAAAACATGTATGTATCATTTTAATGAAGTAATCACAAATTTTAAGTTTACGGGCTATACTAAAGTTTTCAAAAATATGGTTATGTATTTAGGTTCACGACAGCCGAGGAAAATAAATATCTTTAATTTTCAAAAATGTAGTTATTCTCATTTTAAAGAGTTCTGGTAAAAATTTATCTAATATTCCAAAATTTTTAAAACCCAATTTGCATAATCTATCATTTTCCGTAACAAATTTACTGGTTTCTAACTGCAGCAAGTTTTCGGATCACATCAAATAAAATGCCTTTAAAATTGTGTAGTGAAATCCCAAATTAACACACTTGAGCCATTTCCAAATCCGTCTAAACAATTCCACCAAATCCTATACAACACCTCAACACGTTCACACCAATTTATTCAATCAATTTCGATCTTGTCATGAAAAAAAAATCCCCTGAAAACAACTTTTCAAGCTCGTAGTTCTCATTTCCTGAGATCAATAATACAATCTAAGAACAATTCACACTTGGTAATCGTAATAAAACTAACTGTCGATTTGTCAGAGTTTGTCGACACGTCTCTTCCCGATACAACCATTTTCTCATTACATTACCAACGGTTAAAATAAAATGTTTTGGCGTGAAAAACAGATTTTTTTTCTCAGCTTGTAAGTTACAGCTCCAGGGTTGATGCATTGCATGGTTTTATTTCAATATTTGTGTTAAAAGCCCAGCTGCGTCCCCCACCCCACCCCATCATAAGTATTATAACAGGCATTTTGTTTTCTTCGCGCAGTAATACCATCGGTGACATTGCTCTTGTAAACACTTCAATGCGAGGGTGAGACACTTGACCAGACAGCTTAGCTCTTGTCTACCATTATCCGCACTTGAAAAATTCAGCCCATTCCCACCCCAGTTGCATTATCCTACGGCACACTGATCAGCATTGAATATTCGCTAGGCCGCTACAATCACTGAGAGGGATGACATCCGTTCGAGTTAATTAGCTCACAATATTACCTTTTTTTCCATCTGCAAATTTAATTCTAAAACATTTTTCTGAAGAATTAGAAAATAAAAAACGAAGTTTGAAGTATATCTAGATAAAAAAAAATATTTCATATTTAGTGAAAATAGGTATATAAAATGAGTAAAGGGCACCATTCTACCCTGACCAGTTAACACAACAACATCTTATATTATAATGCACGCATCATAGAGTCGTGATGTGACGTCACCTGCAGAAGGTCCGTCATCTAATACACATATATAAGAAGGCTTCAACAATACCTCTGTAAAACAGATTGAAACCACGGCATATCTAAATGGCTGCATTTAGCTTACTGTAAAACATGAAATTCATACGTGACGAAATTACTGCTGTCTGAATTGTTAACGCCAGAGTATAATACAACAGCCCCATAAAAATATGTTAGTTATGTGAGTTCTTCAAATGTGAAATGGCGTCGTGTCAACTGAAACGTTGCGCAAAAAGTTTTTAAGGCTAGATATTGTTTAGCCACAGACAATAATTATAGAGGTGACGAATAAACGCGTGAGAGGAATGATTTCAGATAATAGTATTCTGTCGATACAAACCATTTTCCATTACAAGACTAAATTGAAAATTTCTAAACTGTCACACTTGTGTCATAAACAGGAGCAGAGTATATTTCTCTGAATTGTTTCTCTGTCTCTATTGTATTCTGGCACATTGTGTGATATTATTGTATATCCATTATTTTCAAAATACTTGTATAGTTTTCTTCTTCCTGAATTTTATATTCGCCCAGGTTCGCTAGGCGCCCTTTTATTGATCTTTAAGTTCCAAACACCCCAATCTTGTTTTTCATATATCTCCGACCTATCGTCACATTTTATTCCAAAATATCAAACTCGACAGAAACTAGATCATTTCGGGACTAACATATGGTTTAATTCTATTTCAATAATTCGCTTGCGCGTAGAGGTCTTTAGCAGTTGGCGGAAACCGGAGGACCCAGAGAAAACCCACGAGGTTGGACAGGCGACCCCACTCCTTGTCACGTACAACCGGGGATTCGAAACCACGCCAGTTGACTCAATGACAGGCTTTATGATACAGCGCGCACGTGCTAACCATTCGGCCATCCACCCCCCCCACCCCCTAACATTCTGTAACCTAGTAGATTACTTCCATAAAATCAGAAACAACTGTATATAATCTGGATATGAATTTATTTGATCAGCAACAACATTAAAATCAATTTACAGCTAAAAGGGAAAGAACAAGACGATGTGCATTCTTTCTGATAAAATCATATTTATCTTCTATATGAAACTTGGGTGTAATTTATATGACTTGGTTGTTAAGGCACTAATCTCCAATAGTTTCTAAGGTAAACAAAATGTCGCCACTAGTGACTTATACTAAATAAAATTATATTAATTATGAGACAAAACATAAAGGTGTAGAAGGAGATTAATTGAATACTAAATCCTTAAAACAAATATGCAATAAAACTTCTGTTTGTATAAGATTAAAAAAATAAATACATTTAATTATATTGAAATAAGTGTAGGAGATTAGTGTCATAGTATAGGTATTACTGGTCTCAATTTACAATGTATAATATTGTGTTATAATAAAATGACAAAAACTATTTATTTATGAATATACATAATAAAGGAAAAGTATGTCGTCCAAGCGTTATGTTCAAATGCTTGGTTATAGTTCTACGACATCTTTCGGAAATGGATCAGCTTTGCTCCAACTTAGATGGGGGGGGGGGGGCGGACGGGAGGGGAAGGGGTGTGTGTGTGTGTGGGCGGGGGGGGGGGGTCACATTAGCGACGAATGTAGATGGGTGTACAATCGAAACATGATTAGTCAATCAAGAAATATCGAAAATACGTAACGTGTACCATGACACGTCCACTATGGGACATAGCATATTTAAATTTCGCCAAATAATACATGTATATATTTCGATATTTCGAATGACAGAATTATTTCGAAAATGCTTTTTCTAGAGAGCGAATGGGCCCGGGTGCCACACAACCTTCCAACGCCATGAATTGACCAATTTGTCATATCATCTTTCATATATACATATATATTTTTTGGGAGTGTGCGTGTGTGTGTGTGTGTGTGGGGGGGGCACAGTAGATTGTTGCAGATAATATATTATGTAAAAGATATTTAAATCGCGTTAAAAGTAGTCGGTCGTATAAAACCTTATCTTAGCAATTAGCGAATATGCAACAAATTTACGATATTACACGATAAGATTGAGAGACGTGACAAACTGGCAGTTAAAGAAATGGTAGCGCACAGGTTCTAAAACTGTTCAAACTGATAGGGTGATCATTAGCACGTTTTTAACAGAGTTCTTTAATGTGTTTTTGTCTGAGGAGAAGTTAATTTCAGTAAAATCGGTAATGCATTCTTGTATAACATCCAATGAAGGTTAGCATGCAATCGATAGATAATGCAAGCTTGCCTATGATAACATACTAATTAATATAGTATGGCTTCGACCAATTTGCGTTTGTTACGTTCGACTGGATTTTTGTAGAATAAATGAAAACCACAAATTTCTAGGAGTCGAGCTATCAATACATCAAAGTTATCATTTGGAAGTCACATAACTGAACACCGGAAAAATTGAATCATAAGTCTAATCTTTTTAAATATTGCTAATATTTTACGCATGGGCTTTATTCATCAAAACCTTTCTTTGTTCGGCCCTTTCCCCGTTTTCCTGATGTAATAAGTAACCAAATTATTGAACAATCATATTAGTCCGGCAGTGGAAGTCCAATTTTGGCATGAACCTTACAATCGCGTACCTACAAAGATTTTTTGCAGTGTTTATATTTTTGAAATATATAGACCGGAAACTGTGTGATTCCACCCGAACACCAGTGAGCATTTTTCGGAATATTCAAATTAAGTATGTCATTGGCGAAATTAGTTTATTGATTATAGCTCAGTGAATATGCCTGATAACATTGGTGTCTATACCTATGTTTCCATGATATGCAAAATCAGTTTACCCAAGGCATAGCAACCAAAAACTAAAACTCCAGCGAACACGATCAGAATAATTAATGGCAATCAATAGTTTTGGTACTTGAAACCCAAACAAGACAAAATCTCCGTCGTCTCTCCCAGGTAAGACCAATGGCCAGAGGGATCAGATGCTCAGAAAAAGTAAGCACCCCATGCGGCATAGCTTCTTTAATTTGGTTTTCCAAATATATGCATGCTTCGAAGGTAAGCACTCACAAATTGAAAACAAGAAATTGTTTCAGAATTTTAATGTATCACAATGTTATGTTAATTAATATAATAAAGTGTAATAAATTATATTGTATTCATTTCCCGTAATAAATATTAGCCTATTTATAGTATATTTAAACTGTGACCATTCTTTGATATCTGTTATAATGGTACCAATAACCGGATGTAAGACTGGGGAAAATGTCTTCTTTTCCAGTTAAACACTATTTCCTGAAATAATAAAATAGAAGACATATTAGCTGATTTGAGCCAGCAGACCAATTAAGGCGAAAGAAAGTCTGGCATTCAGTATGTCTTTTAAAACATAGCTACATAGCCTATATTTTAGTTCAACTGGCAGCATAATAGTTACAAATACGAAAGCATATATTAAAGACACTGACGGATTTTAAAGGGACTACATTATTATGACAGTTGAATCTCTAATAGAAATATTCAGTAATTAGAAGAATGTTATGAAATGAGAACTTCGCAACATTCGTAACCATCTGCAAACGCTATAAACAAGCCAGTGCCACCTATAGGTTTTGGGTTAAATCATTTAATAGGCTGTTTATTAAAAAAAATGAATTCGCTTGAATATATGACTGGGGAATATCTATCGTTGATATTTTGATCTTGTTTTCAAAGTTTAAAAAACAGTCTAGGTACATTTTAGTGTAGATTAACTAGCGATTAGAAAATAAATGAAATGAGGTTTAACGTCCTACTGTTCTGCTCCGACTGGGCTGATGAAGACGAGCATACGCGGGTCTACGGCCTACTCATATCGAATTCCAACTGCCAATGGATCTTTTACGTGCACACTAGCGATTAAATACAAATGACAATCGGCGGGTTTCAAAAATCATTATAAGCATACACTTCAAAAATGCAAAACTAATTCGTAACATCAAGAGATTTTATTTTCACGAATCAATTTTTTCCAGTTTCAGACTGATTAATCAATAAAATTGTTTGTAGTAAATGGATACATACCGCTTCCGGAATTCCTTTGTTGAACGTTATTGTTGTTGTTGAATTGTGGCCCCATACCAGCATAAGGAGTCATACCAGCCATCATTCCTGGGTGGTATCCATTGAATCCAAGCATGCCTGGGTACATACCATACTTACCGGCACCGTAAGGACTGTATAACGCGGACGCAGCTAAGGCATTACCATACAAACCATGCATGCCCAGACCACCATACATGCCATGACCACCATACAAGCCCATACCAGCACCATACATGCCTAAACCAGCTCCATACATGCCCAAACCAGCACCATACATGCCCAAGCCACCACCATACATGCCTAGACCAGCACCGTACATTCCAAGCCCAGCTCCCCCGTAAGGAACAGCCAGAGATACGGCCAACAGACAGGCAAAGGTGGCAACGACCAGTTTCATCATCTGAAAAATATGAAACGAACATTAAGGGCAAGGCAGACATCAGCATATTTTATATTTTGGTTAGTTGCATTTAATCATTTAACTTCGTGAACTTCTCTAAAACTCTCTAAGGAGTAATAACCTGTTTTTGTATTGCCCGATCGGTTTTAATTTCTTGGAAAATAGGCATTCATTAATGAATATAATATGTTATATTCATATATGTAAATATATGTTATATATTACGATCAAAATTGGATTGACAAAGTATATTGTTTAAAATTTTAGTTTCAGTTTTTAGAAATAACCCATATTTCGAAATAAATCCCTTATGGAACATGAACAATTAAATTAACAAATTATAATGGTGTAAGTGAAAATAAAATACAATTACCTTGTCGTATATGTTACTGTATCTTTGAGCAAAGAATATGTAATGCCTTACCGTGTGGTTATCTGGTTTATATACCCTAACTGACTATTCCTAATTACCAGATAATCCTTCAAATATTTTCCGCACCTTTAATCAGCGAAAAGAAAAATACAAGTTATGAGCTATTAAAATAAATTTACATGCATATTAATAATTAATAACGGGGTTGTTCGGTACATTAACTGTAGGCCAATGACCCGATATCACTGATAAATTTCACGTAGGAGTGTTAATTAATATTCCTAATCATTTTCATTGATGGATTTAAATTTTACTATGTTATTATATCTGTGATTAAAATCGTGAGCGGTTAAAGACCTCAAGCATGGGTTAATTTGAAGGGACCAATTTGAAAACGTGCACATTTTTGTATTAACATGGAATTTGTTTTTATTTGATTAGATCTGGTATATTTCTATTCATTTAATGAGAATATTTTTTCAATGTTAAAACTTTTCAACCAGTGTTGAGATACTGCATACAGTACATGTATATTGACCATAGCCAACTTTCACTAACCCTGTAAAATGTATTAGACAGGGACTTTGATTTGTGTATACAAATAATGTACATCTAAAACTTTTAATTAAAGATACGTTATGGGAGATTCGATAAGGAGTTCTCACTATAATAGTTAAAAACTAAATAATGTAAAGGCAATTTGATGAAAATTTCGTTCAAATTGATCCATTATGAACCGAGAACTAAGCCGTTGAAATTTCCGGCTAGCCTTGATCATCATTACTAAAGTTAGTACGATAAACAGCATAGTCAGTAAATCGGCTCATAATCCGCTAAAGATCGCAGGCTAGCGATGCCATTTAGAGTTGATTATGGTCTGGATAGGTTAATTAATGTCTAATAATTTAGATAACATTTCAGGCCTAAAAAAAGACCTGCAATAGACAGATTTAGCTTTTGCATAATGTATGTTTAGGGTGTTACCGAAAATACAGAAACATCTGCAAAGACATCACTGAGATGTACACACGTTTTAACTTTCAGAGGTGGGGAACAGGCTGCGAATGGTTTAACACGTTCACGTTAGATCAAAAGTTCTGTCATTGAGTGGCATTGTTTCAATTCTCCGATTATACGCGTCAAGGAGGAGGGTCGCCTGACTAACCACGAGAGTTTTATCCGCGTCTTCCGGTTTTCTCTCACAGCTGAAGATCCCGGCTGACAACCCGCGAATCGAAGTAATCTTATACGGTGGCGTTTCTCTTTGTGCAACAGCTACGACGGGCTGTGTGGAAAACGAACGAGAAAGACTAACCAGGTTATTTTGGATTTTTTAATTCGCTTGCGCACAGGGGTCTTTAAAAATTGTTGAAAACCGGAGTACACGGGCGACCCTACTTATTGTCATATGTCAAGCTGGAGTTCGAACCATTGACACGTGAGATATAATAATTTACAGATCAAACCGTAGCAAAGATCTCTGTGTTTAAAGATGTCTGATGTAAGAATTGGATAACGAGATGAGAATTCTTGCTATAAGAGTTCAAAAATTGATTAAGGAAATTAAATTTATTGGAAATTTCATTTATTGAAAATTTCATTCAAATTAACTTAATCTGAACGACGTTATTATCGGTGGAAGATGCAGCGTATGATTTATTAACATAGCAACGGTACTAGGCAAACGAGATTAGGAAGATTTGGCTCTTACATAATTATATTTTGAATGTGTTTAACCAGTTTATAGGGGAATTGGATGGTCGAATGGTTAGCACATGCGGGCTGAGTCAACTGGCGTGGTTTCGATTCCCCAGTTGTACGTGACAAGGAGTAGAGTAGCCTGTCCAACCTCATGGATTTTCTCCGGGTCCTCCGGATTCCTCCCTCTGCTAAAGACCCTTACGCGCAAGCGAATTATTAAAATAAAATTGAACCATATATTGGCTCTTCGTAAGGCGTAAGTCCTGAACACACTTTTTGCTATGGCTGCATGTTGGGAAATAACACAATGTACTTAGTTCGTTTACCAATAGCCCTAAAATTATTCCTCACATAATTGAATTTAGATCGCTCCATTTATAAATCACATTAGTATTCTGCCTTTCTGGTTTATAATTCGTGACACTGGGATTTCTTATTTCCGCGGGCTACGACTAAAAAGGTAACGAACTAACGTTGTAGAAGCCACAAGTCAACATTCATTAATGAAATGAAATAGCCAAAAGGTTTCCTATGATTTAATTTGACGTCAGAGCTTTTTACTTTTTATGAAGTACATAACGTCTGTTATAGGAAATTGTTTTTTTTAAAACGATATAGCAATCGAATTTAGAGAAATTATCTAAGGGATCATAATACATGACGAAGCCCCTCTCACGGAAGTTATTAAGACGGTATACCAATAACCACAGGTGCGAATGGGGGTAAAATGTTATCTGGACTCTGGCCTGTATTACCCGTTAACGCTCTTTTTCAGATTTACATATCTGTTCAAATTTAAGTTACGACATTAAGAGAGTGGTTGTTATAATATTTATTCTTTAAAATTAATAAATATATTTCATTTTATTGCTCTATTCTTCATTATTATACAAACTACCAAAATTTAGTAAATCAACATCTTTCCCATCACTGAGAACCACTGCAACAACACTGCAGATTAATACTTCTCTTGAAATTGTGGACTGTCGTGATCTTTTTTATTTTCTTGTTTCATTCATGTATTCACCACAGACTAAAAGCTTATTATATTTTAAGTTTTTTCTTTGAATTTTTTTATTTCGACTTTTATTCTTAATGTTGAATATTGTTATTGGATTTCTAAATACAACACTATATCCGTCATCGAGATTCTTTAAGGTTAAACATGCATTATGCAAGAGCTAAATCTGCCTATCGCAGGTCTTTCTTTAGGCCTGAAATGTTATCTAAATTATTAATTAGACATTAATTAACTTATCCAGGTCATAATCAACTCTCGATGTCAAGGCTAGCCTTTTTATGCTTTTTAACGTACTAACTTTAGTAATGATGAACGAGGCTAGGCGGAAATTTACAAAGCTGATATCTCGGTTCATAGTGGACCAATTTGTCTGAAATTTTCAACAAATTACCTTTACATTATCTAGTTTTTAACTATTATAGCGAGAACTGTCAGCTCTTTATCTAATCTCCCATAATGTATCTTTAAGTAAATAATAGTTAGTTTTCATAAGGGCATTATTGATAACTTGACCTTACATATATTATAGCATTTGTCCTTACTATCTATCAGAACATTATTAATAATTTGAATTTGCTATCTATTTGAACATTATTAAATTGTTCTTTAATAACAATCATTTATAGTACATGTGGAGAGGGCATCGGTAAGTTTTCCAAATGACATTTTACTGTAATAGTCCTAAAGAAGGTCGAAAAACCTGGAACTAGTCTACCTAATGTTATTGTTTCTATAATTTGTGGATGCGCTGAACACGCAACAATTCAGCATGACGCAACAACCAGAAAATGACTCATGGTGCGCACATTGGTTTCCTTTAATTTCCCAAAGGTTGCCAGAGTGACATCATCTGGATGCTGAATCTACACATATAGGAGATATATAATTAATATAAAAATATGCTAGATGGTCTCCATTTACAAGACAAGACTTAAACGGGTGTTAGGCTGCTGGACTATAATGACTGTTCTAGTACAATAATTGAATGTTCGTGCCACTCCACATCGTGTACCCGACAATAAAGGTACATTATATATAATTGCTAAAACGTAATGATAATCATCGTGTCATGTCTGTAAATTATCACACAAAGCTCTATTTATCGGTGTTCAATGTAGTTTGGGATAACAGCACATTATATATAAGCTTTTACATGATATAGGTTTTTACACGATATAGAATTTTACACAGTATAGGCTTTTACACGATATCGGTTTTAAACAATATAGACATTTACATGATATAGGCTTTTACATAATATTGACTTTTACACAATATATATAGGCCTTTACATGATATACATTTACGCAATATTGACTTTTACAAGATATATATAGGCCTTTACATGACATACATGTAGGCTTTTACACGATATAAGGAATAACGTAATATAAGCTATAACATATGCTATAAACTTTTACACAATACATGGCGTAGACTTGCTATTACATGGTGTAGACTTTTACACAATATAGACCATTACATGGTGTAGATTCTAGACAATGTAGGTTTTTACATGATATAGGATTTTACACAATATAGGCTATTACATATAGACTTTCACACAATATAGGCTGTTACATGATATAGAATTTTAACTAGATACATATATTTACCTGCAAACAAAAGGATAGAGAACTACTCACAGCCAGGTAATGTTGGGGTTACCAGCTAGCAAATCTTGTTCCGGTTTGCGGGGATGTTGTTCAATGACATATACGGCTAAATGATCTTGTGATCACCATTTCATGCAACCATCAACCGTACCCCCAACCCCTTGTCCCCTTAAATAGAACATTTCTATAAAAATTACGCATCATCGTATTGTACAATTCACGATTATCAACTGGCTATGTTATTAGGAATCTAGGTTGAGTGTGCGCCCTTTAAATAATCGTAGACGTGCAAACGATTTATTATTTTGAACAGATCGAATTATTTCTTGTAACTCACTTCCTCCCCAAGTTCTATGAAGGAGAGCGTTTGCCAATTAAAGTTTTCCATTACCTATCTTTCCACTTAAGACCATTTCGGTATATCTTTCGCATATACATATAAAATACCTTGAGACTATTGATTTTCTTTGAGTCTAAAATTAGCCATAGTCTACGTGTAGAATTAGCTTTTAATAAGAAGAAGTATTATAACTTGAAATTCGCTAGACTTAAATCATGCTCTCGAGAATTTTTTAAATCGTATTAGGAATTTGTTTTAAACACGAAGTATGTCTGGTTCTGACAGCTATCAGATTTCCAGCGATCACCAGTAATCCTTGGCGTGCGTCAGCGTATACAACCCTTAAGATCACCAGCGCGTTTTCTGCTATCTGTGAGGTACTAACAGTTCATCATCAACAATCAATCCATAAATAACGCTATTTTGGGATGACAGTTTAAATTCATAGGTGGTTCTTTCAGGTGAAAGGTTTAAAGTCCCCATTCAGATTTGCCTACATCAGCAAAGCGGTAATAGTACGTCATAAACGGTCTGTATTGTTCATACTGGTATTATAATAAACTTTGGAAGAACGAATTCTTGCTAGTTTAACAGATAAAATCCTTTTGCATGGATGCTTGTATTTAGCAATAACAGTATCAGAAGATCTGTGTCCTCCCCAATTATTGCAGTCGAATGCAACTCTGTCGCTTCTGTAGTTACCTTTACCATGTCGACATCCGCATCTGTAGATGCTTTTACAACATTGAAACGCCGTCTAAACTCCAATTCATGACACAAAGCAGCAGCTACATGTATTACACGTTGGGCTTTCCTATAGGTTCTACGATTGTATAACAGTAATTCTGATCCAAACTATAACGTTGTATAGCCAAGCAAACTGATATTGAAGCTTATTTTAGCAAAAGTTTCTCAGTTATGTAGATCAAATTGGTAAATGTTCTCTTACGCATCTATTTGTTTGTCTTGCCTCACTCATTTTCCACGTCAGCAAGTTATGTGGGTAGAGATATCCCCCCAAAACATGTACATACCAAATATGCCAGTATGTGATGAAATACTCCTAAAATTGTATAAGGGACTGTTAACACCTCTGAGCATTTCTTCAAATGTAATATTGACCCCAAAAACAATAGTTCAGATACCAAATGTACTATATCATGACGTAGCAGTGCACAGTTATGCCTATTCTAAAACTTGGCATTTCGGTCAAAGGCTGTGGGTTAGGAGTAAACCTGAAAATGGTGTAAGTGATTGGGTATATCTACAAATGAAATAATGACTAAATTTGCTATTTTATAACGGAACAGTGTAGAGTTATGCTCATTTATAGATGTGGTTCCTCGGCTATATGTGTTAAGGAGGATCCCCGAAAATGACACATGTGAGCATCAGACATCTATGAAAACCATTTATATGAAAAATTGGCCCTGATAATTTGAGGCTTTCCAGTACTCCCATTTTGGTAAACTTTTAGATTGTCATTCAGCACGCACAACTCTACCAGAAACCATCAAAAATCCCTTTCTTGCAATTGTTTGGGGGTTGGCCTCCCCTTTTACATAAATTGACGTAAAATAAACTCAAACTTCGGGACTTTCCGGTACTTCCATGTTGGTAAACTTTTAGGATGTCATTCAGTACCCGCAACACTACTAGAAACCATCAAAAAGTCGGTTCTTGAAATGTTTTACGGGTTGATCTTTTGTTTATAAATTATCAGCTAATTAAATCAAGATTCCCTTTAAACATATAAATTATCAGCTAATTAAATCAAGATTCCTTTTAAACATATAAATTTAGTAAAGATTGTCTGGAACTAATTCGGGTTTATGTCAGCTTACTTAGACTTTATATTAATGGCATTGTGTAACGTAACCCATGATTGGAATGGAATTGAATTGAATGTAATGAATGCCCTATAAAAACATAACTCAACACGATGTTACAACCAGTTCTAGTGCACCCCACATTCCTCGCCAGTTTGATTTCACTCTTGATTAAATGGAAGCCCCTGGTCGTCACCAACTTTGCCAACCCTAACCCTGAAATGGAAGGCCCGGATCGTCACCAACTTTGCCAACCCTAACCCTGAAATGGAAGGCCCGGATCGTCAACCACTACATACCACTGTGTATTTTTGAAAAAAAGTATGTGACAGTTATTTGTCAATCTAAACAACAGACCCACCCTACCTGCAGAAGAAGCTAGCTACAATTTAGTTTTCGAATGTTAGTTACGTACGGGTAATTTGTTAGTGTCATTATGTGTCAGTTTTTCATGTTTCTTGAAACTGTTTAGCATTCCTCCAACGTTCTGAATTTATTTGCGTAATAAATAACACAGAATAAAATTGACTTTAGATAGAACTTTGTACGTGAGTCGGAACATAAAGATAATTTTCTGAAAGGTATAGTTACAATGACTACACTTTTGTAAAGCTTGTTTGTGATAACCAGGATGACGGGATTTGAATGTCTAATTTGGTTCTAAAACTAAGGTGGAAAAGAAAAGAATACCTAGTCATACAAAAATCACTTGTCACTTAAACAAAATCATTATCAAGAAGAAAACCACAGGAAACTTCTGATATGCGAAATACGCGCTCTTTATATTTTTCGCTAAAATGTCAAATTTCTCAATTCTTAATCAGCGCCAATATGTACTTAAATTGGTGATTTCACATTTAATTAAGAAAACATAGTCAAAGTACCAACGTAACGCTAGATTATAATGTCCCGCCTTGGATTCAATTGGATCTCAAACAGGCCTATCAATACATTCTCGTGGATAACAAAATGTCGGCGGGTTTATTACATAGCGATCAACATTGATGGACAGAATTTCAATTCAATATTTTTTATAAATACTGAACGGAATTGAACCATTTTCTGGACTGATATACCTATTCGAGATCCACCTTTCACAATATTAATATTGTAGTTTACAAGGAATCCAAATAGCGTTAAAGGACGGGTCGGGACTTAAACATACACCTTTAAATAAAAATATCCAGCAAGGAAAAGTATATCCCGTTATTTTGTTCAAAATTCTGAAATATGATTTTTCTAACAAGTTCTTACTCTTTAAAGAACATGATTTAAAATTTCCCATTGATTGATAGTTGTGCCCATCTGTGTCAGAATTTGCGTGTGGCGTAGCACAGGAAATGAATTCCCAATTATATATATATTTTATATTCTTGACATATGGGACTGTATATGTGTCTGGAATACATCTGTTATCATCAAATTTGACATTGTAGATTGGCATGTTTGCAAGGAACACAATATAATAATTAACTTTAGATCTAAATAAAACATTTTTATATCATTCCCGCAGCGTGCAGGATTACATTATTGTTTCCTTGTGATTTTCTACTGCCGTCAGTCATAAAGCTTATGGAGTTTAAAAGCATGTAAGAAGAGGGTTGGTTTGGCGAGTGGTCTAACGCGTGCCCTTTAGATCTTAAGGTCTGTCATTGCGTCTCGATGCGTGGTGTCGATCCCAAGCCTGTGCAGGTCAAGGAATAGAGTCGACTTCCCAACTACGTGGGTTTTCTCCATGGTTCTCATTTCTCTCTCTCTCTCTCTCTCTCCTCTCTCTCTCTTTCTCTCTCTCTCTCTCTCGCAAGATCCAGAATATTGATATACATACATATCGAACAGACCTTATACTATACTATTCAAAAAAAGTAGGGGATATTTGATTTTGGGGGAATAATACTAAAATATGCAAATGACTACGAAAAAAGTCACTATAGAACCTAACAGAAGAAACATTTCCAGTTACATGTGACGCCCAAACGCACCAATAGCTACCGCATGGAATGCAGGTGATGCTTGGGATCATCATGGGGGTCCAACCCAAGATTTGCACGACTCTGACTTTGAATGTTACAGTCATTGTGGCATTGAATTCCAGGGTGGAAACATCAGTTTAATTGTTTTAGTGACCAGAAAACAAATTTTGATATGCGTCGGCTTACCCAAAATGAAAGGTTACGTGCCCTTGGCATGCTACAGATCGGCACAACACTCAATGCTGTAACAATTCTAAATATTTCGGTTAAAGTCTGTTAAATGTGGCGATTAAAACGATGGTATTTTGATGAATAGATTTATTTTAGCTTTAAATTCTAGAAATATTCCCCAAAGAACTTAACTTGAGCGAAATAATCCCCAGGACACTCTATTTTGTGGAGTTTTTCCACAATGCACTTAAAAATAATGAATTTATTTGGACAGAAATCCCTAAAGTCATCGTTTATAGTAACTTTAATATGTCGATTAATCACTTTAAAGGTTATGTTTTATATCTTTTCGAAAAAAGGTAACAAATATAATTAAAGCTTTATTTTCTTAGAAAGTTTAACGCCAGGAACTTTAGTAGTTAATAGATTTCAGGAGAGCGATACAACTATAGCGAAGAACTAAATTGAAACAAACATGAAAACCAACTGCTAAAAGCAGCAGAAATATCCGGAGAGATTTATTTTATTTTGATAGGAGAGAGAGAGGGAGAGAAATGGGGTTTAACGTCCACTCGACACAAACTAGGTCATTTCGGGACTAATATATGGTTTAATTTTCTATTTCAATAAAAAAAATAATTCGTTTGCGCGTAGGGGTCCTTACTAGTGGGAGGAAACTGGAGGACCCAGAGAAAACCCACGAGGTTGGACAGGCGACCCTACTCCTTGTCACGTGCAACCGGGGATTCGAAACTACGCCAGTTGACCAGATGACAGGCTTTATG